AGGTGCGCCGTTGTCGTGGTTACGAGCACTCACATGCTGCAGGATCTGTCTGTGGCTCACAGCTGCTCGCTCCTATGACCTGATTAGTGGAGTCACATGACCCAGCTATGCTTTCTGTCAACAGACCAATATGATAAAGACACTCGCCCCCCCTCCCCCCTCCACCCTGACCTCTTCTCACTGTTAATCACTCAGTCAGTCAGAATGTCTGTCTATTTCTCCTCCTCTCTCTCTCTCCCTCTATCTCTTCCTCACCACCCCTCCCTTCCTCACCCTCTCACCCTCCCTCCCTCTATCTGCACCCCCCCACCACACCCAAATTGAAAAGTGTCACATATGAGCGCCATGGTCGTAGATTTGATGATGATGTTTGTGATGAGGCCTATTAATTAAAAACTTCTTAGTTTGAATAACAAACATTCTGTCTCCCACTACGAATATTACTCGTACTTCTAGTACTACAACTGATACTTCTACTACCATACTACTAGTATTTCTACTGCTATTAATACTACAACTACTACTAATGTTATTACAAATACTACTATGGCTAATAGTATTACAGCTGTTTCTACTGCTATTGATACTAAACCTACTATTACTGCTTATACTGCTAGTACTACTAATACCACAATTATAACTAATACTACTACTAATATTACTACAAACAATTTTAAACAAATTTAAGCTCCTGCAACTTCTGTTTTTAGAAAATCTATTGAAATTCAGCTTCCCCACTTCCTGTATTTTCAGCAGTTCTTTAAAATAATTTCAGCTATTCTTATGCCTCTATCAACAGCAATTTTTTAATATTCATTTCTGTATTTTTTTGCAATATTTCAAATTTATTTCAGCTGTTTTCATTTCTGCTTTTTCAGCAAATCTATTGAAATTCCTTTCAGCTTCTCCCATTTCTGTATTTTCAGCAATTTCAAATTCATTTCAGCTTTTCAAATATCTGTCATTTCAGCAAATGTATTCAAATTCCCTTCAACTTTCTGTATTTTCAGCTATTTTCAAATATTCAGTGCAGCTTTCAGCTTTTTGCATTCCAACGCATTTTCAGCAGGAAATGCCTTTTCTAGTTGATAACTTTAAGGCTTTTTCCAAAGCACAGCATCATTATTAGTTGGAATGCATTAACGATGCATTCCAAGTATTGTTCTTCGAATCTTTATTCTTCATCTTCTATTTCTTCCGCGGCACCTTTCAACTCCTTCACACTTTCAGCTATTAAAACCGTTCAAATATTAAAATGTTCAGCTCCTTTCTGGCTTGAGGGCTATGACTTTTCAGCTTTCTACCTCTTATGCTTGAATTTATATAAATCAATAATCATTAATATTTTAACATGGTTTTCAAATGGAGTTTGCTTTCAAATCCTCCTAAACTTCTTCAACTTTCAGATTTTTCAGCTTCGCAAATCTTTCAGCTACAGACACCATTTCAACTCCCAAATGTTCACACAAGTCTCAACTATTTTATGAAAAAAACTGCTTGTGGATATCTATTGTACTTTTTTCATAATCACTGATTATGTTTCACTAGTTTTTCGCTCCGTTTCTGACTTTTACATGAGTGTGTATTGCGTCTGCTAGAGTGGGGAGCTCCAGGCTAGAGTGTGGGGCATCTTAGGAATCTGGTTAAAAAAGTATGGAACTTCTGTCCTTGCAGCCAAAGTATACACTCTAGAGGCTTCATTTCTTCAGATTAATGAGGGTATGGTTGTGCTGATTGGATTAATGTGTTCATGGAATCCCAGAGTTTTTTAGTTTTGGCGCAAGGAGTGTTTGAGTGACACAACCTCTGCCAAAAGCCCCATAGGCTCCAATACAAATCTGCCGACATATTTCTCACAAAAATCCACAAGGTACACGTTTTGTCAACGGCCATAGGAGCCGTATTTATTACCGGACAGACATAAAAAGCACATCCACGCGTTCGGTAGAGTCTTGGGTCTCATTCAAACGCCGTATTTTTTAGATAGCTGTTATAGTTTTGCGCTGGTTCCCATTTGTTTGAGGTGTGGATTCTGTGTAACTCGCTGTCCTGTGTCTGCACTTTTGCAGCCGCACAGGTGCGCCGTTGTCGTGGTTACGAGCACTCACACGCTGCAGGATCTGTCTGTGGCTCACAGCTGCTCCCTATGACCTGATTAGTGGAGTCACATGACGCAGCTATGCTTTCTGTCAACAGACCAATATGATAAAGACACTAGCCCCCCTCCCCCCTCCACCCTGACCTCTACTTACTGTTAATCACTCTCAGTCAGTCAGTCAGTCTAATTCTCCTCCCCTCTCCCTCTCTTCCTCACCACCATTCCCCTTCCTCACCCTCTCACCCTCCCTCCCTCTATCTACACCCCCCCACCCCACCCAATCCAATAGGTGCGCCGTTGCCGTGGTTACTCGTAAACACGCTGCAGTATCTCTGTGTGTGACTCACAGCTGCTCCAATGACCTGATTAGTGGAGTCACATGACGCAGCTATGCTTTCTGTCAACAGACCAATATGATAAAGACACTCGCCCCCCCTCCCCCCTCCCCCCTGACCTCTTCTCACTGTTAATCATACAGTCTGTCTGTCTATTTCTCCTCCTCTCTCTCTCCCTCTATCTCTTCCTCACCACCCCTCCCTTCCTCACCCTCTCACCCTCCCTCCCTCTATCTACACCCCCCCAACCCACCCAATCCAATAATTTCAAAATAAAAGCCACATGGAGGGAATTTTTACTGTAATGTTTGTGATGAGGCCTATTAATTAAAAACTTCTTAGTTTGAATAACAAACATTCTGTCTCCCACTACGAATATTACTCGTACTTCTAGTACTACAACTGATACTTCTACTACCATACTACTAGTATTTCTACTGCTATTAATACTACAACTACTACTAATGTTATTACAAATACGACTATGGCTAATAGTATTACAGCTGTTTCTACTGCTATTGATACTAAACCTACTATTACTGCTAGTACTACTAATACCACAATTATAACTAATACTACTACTAATATTACTACAAACAATTTTAAACAAATTTAAGCTCCTGCAACTTCTGTTTTTAGAAAATCTATTGAAATTCAGCTTCCCCACTTCCTGTATTTTCAGCAGTTCTTTAAAATAATTTCAGCTATTCTTATGCCTCTATCAACAGCAATTTTTCAATATTCATTTCTGTATTTTTTTGCAATATTTCAAATTTATTTCAGCTGTTTTCATTTCTGCTTTTTCAGCAAATCTATTGAAATTCCTTTCAGCTTCTCCCATTTCTGTATTTTCAGCAATTTCAAATTCATTTCAGCTTTTCTAATATCTATAATTTCAGCAAATGTATTCAAATTCCCTTCAACTTTCTGTATTTTCAGCTATTTTAAAAAGTTCATTTCAGCTTTCAGCTTTTTGCATTCCAACGCATTTTCAGCAGGAAATGCATTTTCTAGTTTTACTTGAGCCTTTGGCGGTTATTGTGCAGTAGATTCTATTGTTTGTATAATTTTGTGTCAGGGATGCGGGTGGAAGGCAGGACTCAAATGCAGACTTCTCCGAAAACAAAAGACTTTAATAGTCAAAAGGCCAAAAAACACAGGAACCGGGGGAAAAACAGCAGGCATGAAACTACGGCCATCCACGACGATAGACAATGACGCGACAAGTGACAGAAGAGACACACGGCTTAAATACACAAGGGAGGTGCAGGTGATTGGACACAGGTGGAAACTATTAGACAATCACAGGGGATGACGGGACAAGGCAGGAAGTGAAGTTACCCGGGGACACGAGTGGCAGAAAACTACAAAATACAACAGGAAGTGAACCACACCGTGACATTTTGTTGTTATTTGGGCTGTGGAAGGTAAGGTGGTTTTATGTGCATTTGACACCAGAAAGTTGTTTTTGCGTTAATCTGACAGTGAAGTTGGAGGCGTATTGTTTGGTTTTAACTTTTTTAATTAAAATCCCTTCAGAGATTCTGAATCAGTTTTTTGCAATGATTGAGAAAGACTTCATGTCATTTTATAACCTTTAGGTAAACTCTTTCTGTGTTTAACCCAAATTATTGTTCAAAACTAGAAGATTTCCATGTAAAAAAAAGATGGAGAAGGATGTCTTAACCAACTAAATTGATCATTTCAAGTGGGGTTTCTTACTATTGTGGGAAGAGCTGGAATCCATGAAGTTGAAGTGATTATGAAGTGAATCTGAAAATGTATGTATTTTTGATAAATGGTTGACAAACCATCAGGGGGTCCTGCAATCCTCCGTAAAGTATTTAATCTAGTGAGCTTTAAGAATGTCTGTTTTAACTGAAAATGTAAAATGTTGGTGGTATACCATCACATTGTTGTGTTGATGATTCCATCTGGTATGTCAAACCTTTTATAATAAAACATATTAAGCGTATTAAAAGTAAACAAATCCGGGATGACCTGGGTGAACACAATGTCCCTTTGCTGGATGAGCTGGATGATGTCCGGTGCCACTGTTTTGAATCGATGGCCCGATCAATAAACTGTCGCTGTTGTTTGGTCGGCACACGAGACCTCTCAGTCTCAGCTATGTTCCTCTTCCTCAAGTTCAAGCGTGGTTCATTTGCATGAATGAGTCAGCCAGCTGACACTCTCTCTCTCTTTCTCTCTCTGTCACTCGTCTGTTTTTCTATCTCTCGGGCAAAATGCTAGCTAAATGGGGGAAGGTAGGTTAGCAGGGGTTCAATGAATGGAGGCAGGAGGATTTCGCTGCATTGGATTAACTCTGTGTGTGTCTGTGTGTGTGTGTGTGTGTGTGTGTGTGTTTGTGCATGAGAGAAATAGAGGGATTGAGTGCATTTTCTGCAGGGGGAAGCTTCTAGCTTCTGTCCATATTACTGGTTTTCTGTCCTACCTTTTCCATAACGCTTGTTTGCGCGAATCTTTTGCTTTTCATACTGTGCATGAGGGCATCGGATTCAACACATTTGAATACTTTTCTAATGGGGTTTGTGTCTGTATTTAAGGTTTAACGATGGGGTTAAACGCAGGGATCTGACTGCAGAGTGAGCCGGTGATTTGTTGACTTGGAGATCTCTCACTTCAGGACCATGGTGAGTTGCACTTACGCTCTCTTTGTCTCTCTCGCATGCATGCACAGATCGTGTACTCTCTATTTCCTCAGCTCGGTCAGACTTGCACGCACAAACAGTCTGAGTTGGAGTGAAAGATCTCAAGCAAAACTACCGTGTTTCCCCTCTTTACTTTTTTTGCTTTTCTTTCTTTCTCCAATCCCGTGTTTCATTTTTCCGCCCTCCATCTTTTCTCTTCCATCACTCCATTTGTGTTGTTGACACAACAGCATAAGTTGTGTGCCCGCTGGCAAAAGCAATCATTGCCTCTCAACGGGCTTGGCGGTGTGCACGTGTCCGTCGCTGACACCATATGGGCCTCTCCGTGTGTTTGGGTGTGTGACGTCAGTGCCCCGTCTACTGCCATCTGACCTGCAAATGGAAACACAGTCTGGCCTCATTCTGCCTTTACGGATCCTAATTTGTCATCATCGCAATTTTTTCGTACATTTTTAAAAATCTTTTTACAGTGTTGCTGGATTAGACTTTTGCAGTTTGTGATTTATTAATGATTATTTGTTCTACGTCAAATAGCCAGTAAGGTTGTGATTCTGACACAAGAGCTATGATTATTATATTATATTATTATTACGCATGGACAAAGTAGTCACAGAAATCTGCAACGAAACAATACTGATCATGCCAATACTAGAAAAATACAAAAATGGCAAGTCTTCTATTGATTGCGCAGCAGGAATTCTACTGAAGTTCAAGATATTTGCTTCCTTAAGTCCAGCACATGTTTAGTTGATTAGTAATATAATTTGTCCTTTTGTGGAGTCCGTTGTTCAAGCAGTAAGTGTAGAACTATTCCTGTAGACTCTCTCTGAACTAACAACGCTGTGCGCTCCTCCTTTCATCTGAACCGAATGGCACCGAGCTGAAGACCCCTGTTTGTTTTTGTTCTCAGCAACGTCTGGGCTGCGCCTCAGGGACCCCCGGGGACGCCTGTGGCCCTCGTCCAATCAGACCTCAGCGTTAGTGCGTCAGTGTCAGTTTGGACCCAAAATCACACCAAGGCTACGTGTGGCTTTAATCCGATTCAGGCTGTCAAACTCGAAGGCCTCGGCACCTTCGGTTCGACCACAAAGTGCAGGAGGAATGCAGGAGGATCATCTGCCGTCTAACTTCTGTGTCAAGATAAAGTGAGATAAAGGCCAACATTAGCTGGGTATCATTGATTGATTCTGTTTTGTAAGCAGCGTAGAGAGAGACAGGAAAAGACAAGCAGGTGTGTTACAAGACTTCTTCCTGTCTGTATGGGGAGAAGAACCGCCGTCTTTCTTAATAGTGCATTATGCATTACTGAATACAGCAGGGACGTTCAGCCAAAAACACGTCTCAGACTGGTGGTAATTCGTCTACCGAAAAAGCTGCACATTTGTCAAACAGGGACGCTGTTTATTCAAAACCGACCGTATTTGGCTTCAGGCCGCGGCTAAGCTGCATGAGATGTGTCTTATGAAAAGAGAACAAGGCAAAGGACAAGAAGGAGAGGATATGACCCCAGCTGTGGTTGTCTGTTGAGTTTCCTGTTTGCTTGCGTGCCTCGTACCTCTGACTTATGCCTGGAGTTCTCAGAAGAGCCTTCATGAGCACCATCTTTGAGCACCATGCTGAAATCTTCCTAGAAGAAGGTCTCAGTGGCCTTTGTTTTTAAATGAGATCACATAACATTTTAAAATGTGGCTTGCATCACATGCACTCTGAACAGGAAAAGTTACGCATGAATAAATAAAGAAAGCGCATAGTATTACAAACATAGACAGCTGCAGTGTGTTCAGTTTTGTTCCCTAAAGGAATATACTTCATCACATAACAGTTCTGCATCAATTACTCGCCCCATTACCTTGAATTCTCGAAGAAACCTTTGAACAACATTTACTTCACCAGATGACTGAATGACTCTGGGTTTCTTCTCAGATTCCCAGTAACACTGAATGACGTCATTTTTTTGGTGAATTTAGCGGTCAGTCTTACTGTGAGTAACAGTAACAAAAGCATTTACAAAAAATAAAAAAAGGGGCTTCCTGCACACAAGAAGACTTTTAGACCATCAAAGGATAAACCTCTGATGACAAAAGTTTGGATTCTTTCTAGCATGTTTTTTTTTCTTATTTGACATTTGACCTACATGGTCTTAAGAGGTTCATTCCTACGTTAGCTGTATCCACTCATGTAATGAGAGTGTGTCGTATGTACGTATTACCAATGCCGAATGGTATTTATTATGAATCGAAAAAGTCTTTATGGTGAGCCTTGGAAATGCTGAAGCCCGGGTCGGCTAGCTGGCCACACGGGACTGCAGTGCTGTGGCGCGTTCGCTGGCTCTGAGGGATTTCCTGTAATTCTCCGTAGCCGTGGGTTTCACAGATTCATTCCTGCGCTTCAATAACAGTGGGATTATCGAGGTTGAGCCAGCTAACGCTGCCCTCTCTGCCATCACCTTCACGTGGCTCACAGCGCCGCCCCGCTCCGCCCCGCTCCGCCCGTTCAACCATGTTTCAGACATTTTTATTTCAGTCCTGACCTTTTCGGTATATCCCCGGCGTTCCCTCTAGTTTGCTGCCTCTCTTTTTCTCACCCACACTGAGATGGGTCAGGCCGGACTGTGACTGAAGCCCTGTTGCTAGGTGCCTATGGATGCTCCCTTGTCTCCGTTTCGTGTGTTCCTGATGACATCAGGACCGCAGAGAGCCTCCACATCTTCCGCCGCAACCTAAAGACACACATCCTCAGACTAAAAACACTAACAAATTGTAGTACTTAAATTGTACTTATGGCTCTTATCTATAGCAAGTTGTAAATCGGCTTATTTAATGAAATTGCACTTGTTTGTATCCTTATGGCTGAAATGCACTGATTGTCGCTTTGGATAAAAGCGTCAGCTAAATGACATGTAATGTAATGTGTGTGTGGGTGTATTTTGCGGGGGTGTTGTGTGCATGTACTGGGTGTCGCCGTGTGTCTGGCAGAAAATTGGATGTTCTGTTATGTAAGCAGGTCTTGGCTGGGTAAAGCTCAGGGAGGCAGGCTCAGGTGGAGAGACGGAAACAGATGCTATTTCGGGTACACTGCGCGCATAACACATGAGTTATTCACTCACATGTGTCTGTTAGTTCTACCGGGATGAAAGTACAATAGAAAAGGGATTTGGAGCAAATATCTGCAGCAACATTTTTCTTCTTGTCTGTACATTCAAATAGGCAGCGGCATGTTTTGTTTGTTACATTACAGGTCATTTAGCAGATGCTTTTATCACTTTAAACCCATGGCTTTTTCGCATTTTTGCCCGGGGAGCAATTAGGGGTTAGGTGTCTTGCTCAGGTACACCTCGACATGGGACATTGGGCAGCCTGGACTCGAACTACCAACCTTGTGCTTCCCAGCACACCTTCTCTAACCCCTGCGCCACGACGTTGGTTAATGTTGGCTGTTGCCCATTAATTGATTAGTGGATCCGCGGGAAAAAACAGCCACTTATTTTAAGAGTCAATTTATTGTTGGTTGTTAAAATACCAATATATTTGATGATTTTCAGATTGACCCGGTTTTATATCCCTGTAAATGAAACATGGTTTTGAGTTTAATTCATGGTCTAAATATGGAATCAATTGTGAGGTTAATCAATAATGCAAATAAGAGAGTTTTACTTTCTGGATGACGTATTAAATATTTAGCATTTGAGTGGCTGCTCGTAGATTCAGTTGCCTTTTGAAGTTCAAACAGAGCCGAGCGAGTTGCCAGAAAATAGTGAAAACTGCCCATCACAATTTCTAAAAGCCCAAGACGATGTCTCCCCAGATTTAGCCAAAGCTAAATGGATTCATGTTCTCTCTCTTTGAACCCGCACACACCCAGGTTACATGTTTTCATTGTTCTCTGACAGCCTCAGTAATCTCTCTCCCTCACTTCTCCCCCACCTGTCTATTCTTCCTCCAGTTTCAGAGCATGGCTCGGGCCCGGCTCCAGTCTCAACTGCCCCGTGCTAAACCGGCCAGTACCACCAGTACCGACGAGCAGCGCGATTCCAGGAGAGCTTGCTGAGGAGGTCCGTGCGGAGAGCCATGCTGTCGGGGACTTGGCGGCGTTCGGTGGGGCAGCAGCATGCCGCGGCACCTGTCGTGACCCCCAGGAACGTGACAGTGTGTGGGGTCCCCAGCGGCACGGTGGTCCTGGAGGCCCAGTATGACTACAACTACCGCGGCGCTGACGGGCGGCAGGTCTGCATCAGGGAGGGCGAACGGTTCATTCTCCTGAAAAAGACCAACACTGACTGGTGGCAGGTGAGGATGCGTTGTCCGTCTTGCAGAGGTGGAACCGAAGAACATGGCATCACACACTGTGGGTTCCTGGAGGGAGGTTTCAAAGTTTGGATTTCAAATTAAAACACTGCATCCAATCCCATGAAAAGAACAAGACAAATGATGCGATTAAACATCTGACATAAGTACTCCATTTGTGTCTCTCAGGCCCGAGCCCATTTGTTCTTAAGGCTGTAAGTTCCTAAAAACTTTTTACCAAATGACCCTTTTTTTGTGAGTATTTACGGCAGTGTAGTGCAGTGCATTGAAAACAGTCTTTGTTCATCGTAATTAAGGAACACGTTCAACCGTCACTAATGTTTTCTTTACAGTTTATGAGGGGAATAGGATGTGTCCGTCATTGCTTACACAGGAAATACTGGTCTATTTTGACGAATGACACAACTGGACAGGCAGCGAACAATAATGGCGAGTAGACGGAGTACTTTTTTTGACCCCTTCCGCTGAAAAAAAAACCAAAAGAGCCATTTGGTGTTTTTAAAAACAGGAAGTTGTGGGTTTTCTCGTTGCTTCTGTTCGACGTGACAGGAACTGTGAGGCACTTCTGCCCAGCGTTCAAGCCCCAGCTGTGTTGGTTGACGCTCAGTTGAACTAAGTGGATTCATGTGGAAATAGGAGAAGCATTTGGAAATCCGTTTTCCTTCTTTGACAGGTGCGGCGGATCGGTGCGGCCAGCAAAACGAAGCCGCTGTATGTTCCTGCTACTTATGTGACGGAGGTGCCCATTGCACCGATGCCCTCGCCACAGCGCCTGGTCGCGTCTGCCTCGCTGAACTCCAACCTCACGATACTGCCAAGCGTGTCGCTCTCCCCCAGCCCAAAAGAGACGACCTACAGAGACCATCGTCAAGGTAAAGTGAGAGAGGACGACGGAGGAGACATCTCTGGTGTGTTTCTCCTTCAGGATCGGGCGAGATATGCCACAAATCTTTCATTCTAGATGTAGTTCTTGTCATACCTCCATAACGAGTATATACAGTATATTATGACATTGCACGTATATTCTGTGAATTGTCATTACATTGTAAATCCTATTCTTGTATCCAACTGACAAATGAAAAGCTATTTCTTATTAAAGTTAAGTGCAGAGGGATCAGATTGTACATTGTAGTTTGTAGATGACCTACTTTTGAATCACGAGGCCTTCAAATAGGATTTCATCCCATATAATTTCACTGAAAGACGATAAATTAGAATTGAACTATTTCTTTATTTAGTTCTGGAGTATAGATTTTGTTTCTTTTGATTGCAGAGGAAAATATGTTCCTCATTGAAATGTTCAAACTGGCTTCCTCCATCAGGGAACAAACCCATCTTCCACTCCATGGAAAACCTCAACTCCAACAGTGCCTTCCAGGGGCCGCACAACCAAACCAGCAGAGGTGGAGCCCGCTCCACCACCACGCCGCTCTGGTCTGGTTTTACCTTCACGCCCGACCCTCCCACCTCCCCTTCAGGCCACCTCATGGTCCCCGGGTGCCCCGCAGCTTCCACGACGCCACGAAACGCACCGCTCAGCCCCAAGGCGGTCCCCATGATCACTCGGAGCCAGAGCTCCAACAACCTGCCTGAAAACCTGACGGAGAACCCGTACGACGAGGTGGGCGGCGGCCTCGGCAACCGCATGAACCACAGGGTGCCCAAGAAGTCCTGTAGCCAGTGGGACATGGTGGGAGCCTCCTGCAAGAAAAACCATCTGCAGGTAGGGAGAGGCCGGCCCTACGAACCTCCCAAAACAAACATGGTAATGAAACTCTTTATTATTTCTGATTTTCTTTATTAAATCTCAAATCAAGGTTTGAGGAGATGGATGAAAATTGAAAAATGTTCAAACAGAAGTCTTAATCAACTGTTACTTACTTCTTCCATCCCACGTAGCTGGTGTTTGAGGAATTGGGGGATTAGATTCATTTTGACTTCCTCTCACAAGCAAATTCTATAATCTGATGGATCTACAGGTCATGACACCCAAACTGTAACAAACCAGCTGTTTTTAAAGTAGAAAAGTAGCAAAGTAGAAATTAAGAAACACTATTCAAAATGGTATATTAGGGCTTGCCTTTAGATCTTTATGTACTATTTGTACATAGTAGCAGGTTCAAACAAAACGACAAAACTGATTAAAATCCCCAAAAAGACCTTGCGAGATCCCACCACGCGACAGGGGCAGCAGAGGTTGTGTCTGATTTACGTCAATGCCTCCCCGCTGTAATCTTCCTAGAGCAGCAATCAAGTTGGCATTGTGGTGACGTCGGCGCTTCCCTGCATTACATCAGAGGGGATTACACAAGGCGGCGGAGTTGAGAGAAATGCTGAAGGTTATCCGTCACTCGGCTGAGGGAAGCTCCCACAAACGAGTTTCGCCTCCGCCGGAGTGTGTGCGTGTGCGTGCGCCGGTGACTTCCGACTTTGTGCAGCTATGATCTCAGTGGAAATGACAGTGCTCTTGTTTTTTATATTTCTCTTCTCTTCCTGTCCGTTCCTGTGTCTGCCCCTCTGTCTGAAGACCTTCTTCGCTCTGCGCTTTATTACCAGCGAGCAGGGTGATGGCAGCCACATTGAGGTCATAACGACCTGTTTTTTTTCCATCCGGAAAAACTCTCTCACCGTTTATTTCCGTCTAGCCTTTTTTAAGCTCTACCACACTGATGAATGTCAATTAGATTTAGTCGTTGTCCTCCAGGGGGCAGAATACACTCTGAATTTGAAAATTTTTGAAGGTTGTTTTTATGGCAAGTTTGCCCTGGTTTGTCAATACAATACAGGGCCAAGAATGTGTGTACACCTGAATATTATGACAGTTAGTGATAAGAAACCTCTATTACATAATCAACAGGTATTAATACACTCCAATGATAGCCTCCATTCTAATAAGATTTGAAAACTGCCTGCAGGGTTTTGCTCCCGTGTCGGCTCCAAGAGCAGTAATGCGGTCGAATACGGACGTCCGCTCAGATAAATCCTCAAGGTGTTGCATGGTTTTGAAGTCTGGGCTCGGTGCAGGTCTGTTTATGAATCTCAGTTTGTGCAACGTGGCATTTTGAACTAGGAAATCTTCAATCTTCACCAAACCGTTAGAAATGGGCCCGTGCCATGATGTTAATTGAGAGTGTGCAAACAGAGTTGAATAAACACATACCTCTAATTAGGGTGAGAATATCAAAGATGATAAAGAGGAGGTGGAGGAAGAAGCAGATGTGTAACACACACAGGTGGTTTTAATTTAACCAGTAGTGAACAGTGAGACAGGAAGCTTCAATACACACCACGTCCCCTCAGTCACTATCTGAAACAGCAATATCTTATGTAACAGGGATCAACCAGCTAGCCGGTCAATCAGTTGGTGAATTATGTCTCAACTATATTTTGTGGGGAGATGATCTTCTGTCCATATCTCTCCAAATCATTTCATTGGATTTGTAGATGTCCTCTCTTGTAGCTGTTGCTTTTGTCCACTCTATCCGCGTGATCGCATGCATTTCTTTAAGCTCCGTCTTAATCCAAAGTCTGCCGGGTTATTACATAGTAAAAGGTGGAGGGATTTATTTGTTTTGTCTTTGGGGTTTCTGTCTCTTCTTTACGCACTAAGAGGATGGTTTTGTTCAATGCAATGTAATATTTCTGCACTAATGCACAAACAGAACCGCAAATAATCATACATTCACTCTAGCTAATGTTAGATTAATGCTGGCAATATTCAATGTTGCTCCTACTGTCAGCTATTACCATCAATAGAGCAAAACCAACAAATCATATTTTCAGTTGACAAGTGCAGCAAGTGTAGCCAGAGACCAATAGAGCATATTCTTGTGTTCATCGTAGCAGTAAATATGCAGCGCCGGAGGTTATTGTGAGTCAGTAACACAACCCATCATGCTGCTGCGCTTAATACTCTTTAGCACACTAAATGTGTATTAAGCTGCAGCTGAAAATAGTCCTGGAGTAGCATTTGCTCAAAAGTGCTGCACCCAGCTGTTTTACAGTTTTACCCTAATCTGGATTAAAATGTAGAATATTTGCATCTTTATCCTTTAAGTTGTAGTGAGCAATATTAAACTTACTTCCAATTTTTTTTAAATATTAATAAATGAATTGTAATTTTTCCTCCATGTCCTTGACTTTCCTTGTCCTCTGCACCCTTCCTGTTTCTACCTACAAGGTCCCAACAGAATCCTATCTGTCCCGGCTGTCCTGGCAAGAGTCCCCTCTCTACAATGAAACGCAGCCAGACAGGCGTCTGTCGCAGTCAGAGCCCCCCAGCCCGGCACCAGGTCAGCAGCCTCTCCAGGTCATGGACCTGTGGGAGCAGTACTTGGACCTGCCCACGGGGAGATGCTACTACGTCAACAGCATCACCAAGGAGAGGTCCTATAAACCCCCCCGCCGGGCTCGTGGACGTACCTCCAACCAAGTAAAGCACCCAACACAAGTTCATCCCGCCCTACTTGTTACGCCTCCTGAATCGGTCTACTGTTTGGTGTCTTTTCCAATAAATTGCTTCAAATTTAGTAAAGGTTGGCATTTTAGAGCTGGATGAAAGTCTACAGTATATTCTCAAAGGAAAGGACAGCAAAAGGGTCAGAGCGGAGAATAAAATAATCGGCTCATTTATATTCTCACGCAGTTCGAAGGGATCAGCACTAAAATGGACCTTTTCAGTCAAAGAACTTCATAAGACCTAAAGAAGGGCACCCTGACTGATGTATTTTCTCTCCGTGAGGAGACGCACAGCGGGCTGCACACGCAGTGATCACAGGGCTCTACAGCTGGAAGTTAAAGTCTTCAGCAGGGGGGGAGACATGCAACTGAGTGTGACTGGCAGTCACTCTTTTCTCACTTTGGCATGCGGCGCAAAATGTTGCTCAGAGCTGCTTGTTGGGAGATTGTGTTACTTTTTAGAGAGAGGCTAGCTGCACACATGTAGTCGACACATACGAGGGTTTTCTTGGTTTTTTAGCAAGTTTTCTGAAATAAAGGAAATAAGTGAACACACATTTGGCGTAATTGCAAACTATTCCTTTAATCTTTTCGTTTGCTCTTTGTTGATTGTGTGTGCGTTCCACGATTCAGTCCATTTGAGGCGGTTTCTACATAATATTACATCTAAACCCTTCCTGTTTCACAGTCTCAGGGTTTATTTCTTTTTCTCCAGCAGGGTGGTCCGGTACAACCTCAGACGTTACCCAGAGAATCCAGCCATCTGTCGCTACCGCTTCATGAAGCTGGCAACGGAACCATGAATAAGGTAGCACTGCTTGAAATTCAGCATCCTTCATAACCTTTTTGTGTGATTTAACAACTAAATGATGAGTGACATCCTCTACAATGTTAATTTTGATTATAGGATATTTTGAGGGGTGATGAGATGAGGACGGGGATTGCTAGGATTTGCTATTTTAGGTACACAGTTGATAAGAGCAGTTCCACTTGCACAACGATAACACTAGACTAACTTGCTAAATCGTGTGTTTAATATTCCACCCACACAAAAGCCATTGTGCTCGTCACAAGGAAGTTTATGATGGTGGTGAGAAGTTAAGAAATGTGTGGTCATCCGGCAAACCTTCAATGCAGAAATGACACGTCCACTTCTTAGATAATGACCAATATTTTGTGCCAAGTCAGTAAATCTGATTTTTTTTACCATTATCCTTTTTGGTTCTAAATGTATTAACTATGTGCTCTCATGCAACAAAAAACAAGATTAATAGTTTGTTAACAAACAAGAACAAAGCACACGACAGCACGCAGCTTCTGCCGGCTCATGCAAATTAATCTATTGTTGGCCTGTCTGCCAGACAAAAGCAGGGAAAATGCTGAAGGGGGATTACATCGCTCTGGTTGCCCCACCTGTGTACTGACCGTCTCACTGCCTCATTTATATATTTATTCATAAAATCCTCTCAGATGGTGTTTTTTTTGTTGGGCCGATCGCTGAAGGGAATAACAAGGTAATGCCTTTTGATCTGATGCAGATGAGCCGAAGCCATTAGGGCCACACACAGGAAGGCAGGGGAACCTAAAGCTAAATTTAAACCACTCACTGAAAGTTCTCATCAGCGTTAAACCCCTCTCTGACCTCACAGATGTTGTCGTAGTCAAACTCTTTCATTCATCCCGGTCTTTTTTAGCAAACTTGGTTTTACAACAGCGAGTCACTAATCCACGAGGGAGGAAGCACGAGGGTTATTTCAGGCGGAAGGGTTTGGGGAATTAATGGAACAGCCATTGGCGACCGAAATTAGCCTGAATCAATAACGGCATCAACGTAGTAAAGAGGCGCGAGCTGCGCGATCCAGATTGTCAGAGATAAGCACTTTGCATCGTTGCCTCGATATTGCGTCAGTGTTTCAAATTTAATGTTGCTCATCAAAAAAATACACCCATGATCAAAGCAGCGATTCCCCCATCAAGTGTTTTTGAGAGGCTTTCTGTTGACCTACATGTGTCACTTTTTATTCAGTGGTACATATATTAAACAGGAAATGATATATAATGTACACTGCATGCCACACAAGCTACACACCCAGGTGTTCAAACTCTGAGTGACCCGTATCACTTCTTACCACACATCGATTTCCATTCTAGATTTTTATTTTATTTTGTTTACCCTCCTTGCCCTTTGTGAGTCTGACTACTGAGTACTAGTACATGTTCCCGTATTTCCATTCTACTGATGAGGGAATTTTTACAACTCAAAAACCTCTGTGTAGTTGACGGTGGAGCTGAAAACATTAAATCGTTTACATTATAGTCAATCAACAGTAAAACAATTTGTTAAAGTAAAAACATAAACTATCCTCTATTAACAGATTCTCAAACTAAATACAGTATTGAATATCTGTGGTTCTCAAACTGCTAGCTAGGGAAACACAATTGGTGGCATATTAATGATTAGTGATCACTATTTTGGCTTCTATTGTTTAAAACATGTGATACAAACCTTGAACACTTCCTAAACTAAGAGCCGGGCACCAGGGGGCCGTAGAGATCTTAAGGTTTGCGTTTTGGGATCTGTCATTTTACGTTTGTTTGACAAAGAGATGTGTTCATCATCCAAAATGTAGCACAATCTAAAAGTGAAAGCAGTGCTTTCATTTTCGTTCAAAAGTTTAAGTCCAATTGTATTTTGCTCCTCGGGGACCGTATTATTATTATTTTGTACATTAGCAGGAATGTAACATAAAATGAAGTTTTAAACGTGATGGCACATTCAAAATGTTCAAATCATATGTTCTGAACATCAATCAGTATCTCTTTTGACATTGTAGTTTAGGTAAAATTTTACTCAAGTTGCTGAACTCTTCTGTAAAATGTCCAGATGGTGCATAACATTGGACAGCAAGACAATGAGACAATAGACAACAAGACCAATAAAACAACAGTGCAAAACAAATGACAATTAACAAATTTAAATCTACAGTATAAAATAGAAGGCCAGGAGGATATAGAATAAAAATGAATCTTTAGTAAGTCTTTAGTAAGTAAACCCCAATGTGGACACTGGTTAACAAGTGAATGTTAGCAAAGTTTTGGTGTAATTGTTTTGAGCGGCCATGCAGGAGACTTCTTGTACTGGCTGTTTAAAGCTGCTTCCCTCTAGAATGGGGAAGTAGAAGCGAGCTGAGATAGGAGGGACCGATAAAAGGTTTTTACGCTTTGCCACGTGAAAATGTGTCACGAAGTGGAACGACAGGCTGCTGAGGACACAAACTAGTGAAAAGCTTTCAGAAACAAGAGCCGGCCTGGATTGTGTTGATCGGTGGAAATGAGCACCTACGCCGTGAGTTCATATTCATTTGTTACGCGATAATATTCGTGTTCTTGGCGTGTTTTTTTTTATTCCACGTCCTAACAAGTGGGGAGTTTCTGTTTTATAACGTGCTGCTTAAGATGTGGAGGTAAAAACACGTTTCATGTGGTTTGATGCTCATACAGTTCACTGACTTGGCTGTTAATCTTAAATAAGCGGCGTTGCTACGGAATTTTACATTGTCACAATACGTTGTTTGAGTGAGATCACGTTCTATAACCACAAAAACGTTGTTCCTGAGTCAAAGCAGTACCGTGCAGTGTGTGTTACTGAGCAACGGTCTTGACCTTTTTCTTTTCTTTTTTTTTCACCTGGCAGGATGTACAGAATTGTAGTTTTGTTGGCGGTGTGAGCGTCAGCTCAGCCTGATGACTTATCTCAAGCCAACACAGCATCCTGTTTTTTTCACACAAATGTGTGCTACTAGTGCTACCAATTTGAACGAAATCTTACCGAGTCCAGAAAGCGAAATATTCCTTGATTAATTAACCATGAAAAGGAGTTTTGTATTAATTAAAAAAAAACAACCGATGAAAAGTAGTGGAAAATAGATTATCTGATGTCCCCGTCTTGGTCTTCCTGTATGTCCTGTCTTGGGTCATAGTTGCCGTCGGATCACCTCTTCGGGACCCACCAGAGGAACACTGGCAGCAGCTGGCAGATGAAACAGGTGAAACTCGTCCGCACTCTTTCATTGCCAGATGGCTGAAGCATTCGCCTTGACTCTCACCTCCTAAAAAACATTAAAAAATGAAAGAGTTAAGTAAAAGAAAAGAACCCTATACCAGTTTTACATATTCTACCTACACGGCAGGGTGCATTTGCTTAACAAAACAAGACAACATACCGCTGTGGTGTGTAATAAAACGTCCTGCAACATGTTATGCTTGCAGATCCATCACCAGAATCAAAAGCAGTATGTTTATATACAAGTATATGAGGATAACATAGACTGCTTTTTTTCCTTTTCTGGTTATTCATTTTGCTAACCTGACTGGGAGGGTAATCCTCATTGTTTTATGAACGCTTAAAGGGCCTTTGAAGGAGGGTATTTTCCTCATGAAAAATCAATGAACCCGAGTCATTACGTTTTGCACAAACTGCATCTCCACTGTATCACTGTAGAATACATTAAAGCATTGCTTTAATGATCTCGGATCATTGATCTCGGAGATCAGCGTTTATGCATATTAAGGTGGCGAAACAGCAACTCATGGTGTTAAGAAAAAGTCTGTTAGCCAAGCAGTTCTTAGTGCAACATGTTGCATCACAGTGAGGTGAGGGTGTGCTGGTTGTAAGACCGTTTAAAGGCCTCCTCTTAGCAAAGGAGAAGATTTGGCTCCTCTAATCTGCCTTGCATGAAAAGACTGCAAACATTAGGATGGATATTTAGTCTGATGTTGAAACTAGCTTACAGGGAGAGCGATATGTACTTAATTATGGAAAAGTTGAACCATTCACACTAGTATGTGCACGTGCATGGGATTGCGAAAAAAGCATTTGGAATGTAAAGTAAACAAGCATCGGCCTCTCTGTTCCTCCTGTGTTGCTAAACCTGTATACTTCAAGGGGAAGCTGCAGTTTGTCCTCATTTAACTTTGTGTACCATGTTCAGGACATGCACTCTCATGCTGACTGTCAGTGTTTCTGTGCCAGAATGCTTTGTTTGTATTTGCAGATTCTAAAGTAAATGTCATAATGCAGCAATGCTGCTGCTGTATTATTATACTTCTGCAATGAGTGATTGTTTAAAACATCCACCACATCACAATGAAACAATGAAACAAAAAACATTTCCACCTTTTCATGGACATTTTTAAAAGTTTGGAAGAGTTATTGTCTTCCTTGATAATGTTACAGATTTTGCATGCCTGTTTGCATGAATTATAATTGCAGAGTAAATTCAGATTACATGTGTTACCAGTGGCTCATTTTTATAAAAATAGGGGACAGACTGCATGCTCACATTTTCTGTTGCTTATTTGTGATTTGAATCCATGCTGATTTGGCTGCACTCATTTAAGGTCGCTCCAGGAAAGAGCATCACCTAAATACCTGAATGAGTTACTATGATTTATTCATGGTCAGTAGAATTATCCATAAGAAGCCAAATCAGCGCCGACAGGATCCACAGACGTTAAAATACAACGTTGCTGTATTGTCTCCACTGTATTCCCTTGTTCACCCCTGACCGGAACATTGACCCCGACCTTTGACCCTAAAGAGCATGCAGCGCGCCGCCTCCTCTGACACCCTGAGCACAATGGCGTTCAACAATGCCGATGGCCAGCGCCATAGCTCTGCCGCCCTGCATGACGTCGAGCAGCAGCTCAGCCACTCTCAGTCTATGATCCTGCCTGAGAACGGCAAGGTACTGTTGGTACAATCCTCACAGACCTGCAGAGGGAAGAGGAATTGCAGTTAAACTTCCAACACTTTTCATGCAAAACACTGGACATATGCACATATACACATACAGACAAATGAACGCCACTGATGCCGCCCCCCCCCCCTCCCCCCTTCCCTCTGTCATCCAGATAGTCCAGCAGTGCAGAGATTCCTCGTGTAATGTGACCAACATCGTTGTGGAGCCTCCATCTCCTGCGAGCTCTCCAGACAGCGATGGCGGCACGCCGGTGAGAAAAACACATTAAAATGCCTTTACTTCATTTGCTCTGGAACTTTAATATTGTAAAGAGACAGAGAGCTGTGGGCACAAGAGGCATTTTAGTTTACGTGCATTTTTAATTTTAAAACTACTTCTAATGAAAATGAAGAAGAAAATAGAGAACTGTCCACAGCGAGATATTCTGAATAATTAAGGTAATTGCATCTGGAAAAATACGTTGGACCTTCATTTTTATAAATATAATTTACCAATTCTTTAAGCACAGCAAATAAACTAAATCTCAGCTGTGGATATCTCATATCCTACCACAAGCTTTTTCCTTTCTTTAATGTTCTAAACACTGCTATTCCTCAGAGCGTTGCTCCCTGTCTTTATGGGCTGTTTTCAACGCTTGCGACTTTAATTCGTCTCTCTTATACCTTACACGGGGCCGTACCGCAGTGGGGGATTGTAGAGCAGCTCCCCTCCTGCTATTTTTTGAATGATGCAACGCTGAAGCTAAATGCGTTTGCTCAGGATGCAGTGTTTCACACAGAGGAAAAGCCATCTGCTGTACTTTTAACGTACTGTAACATTTAACGGTCCAAGCCTTTGGTGCATACTTTTAGTGATAGCATTGTCGTGACGTATAAATATCACTGCTTGAATCTGGCAGATTGTGCTTCCAACCCTTTGAATGTGCTCTCAGGAGTTGGAGAAAGCCGGCCTCTTGAACAAAACAAAGATTGCAGAAGGAGGCCGGAAACTGAGGTGAGGCTTCTCTGGCGCTGCTCCCATTAAAGACAAAACAATTTGAATCAGATTGCCGATCTCTGTAGATATGAATTCCATCTAACATCTCTACATGCGTTTGTTGGTCTGCAGGAAAAATTGGAGCCCCTCCTGGGTGGTGTTGGTCGGGAACAGTCTGGTTTTCTTCAAGGATCCTAAATCACAGACACCTTCCAGCTGGGTAATGGCTCAGACAAACTCGGTTTAATGCCTTTAGTGGAGGCATCATCTTCAGCATGGTGAATTTAGTTCAGTCAGAAAGTGTTAAGGGTCTAATCCGCTAACTAGTAGAACAATGCATGATTTTGGCGTGTGTGCGTACCTGTTTTTTCACCAAACAGAAGCCAGGAAACAGTCGTCCTGAGAGCAGTGTGGATCTAAGAGGAGCAAAGCTGCACTGGGCCGACGACCTGTCCAGCAAGAAAAACGTCTTCAAGGTAAGAAAATGAATTCTCTCCCTTTTTTTCAATTGTTCTGTCTCTGTCAGACTGTTGTTCCTGCTTTTGAATGTGGATGATTTGATAGCAGATGTGTAGTTAAACACAATAGTGTTTCTGTTAATCCAAGGGCCTCTTATCAGTGAGGGAAGTGAGAGTGCGAAACTTTTTTTTTTTACACCCCTTGTTGACTCTTCAAACACATTGAGGAAGAGGAAGAGTAAAAAATAAAAATACCGGTAGAATGTGCCAGTTGACTTTTAAGTCACCTATTGTTAAAAGGCATTACATGTCATCATCACACGACATCTGAATGAAACATGTGAAACAGGAAAAACGCGTTGTGTTTGTGTTTGACATTGTAAAATGTTTTTTTTAAACGTGTGCTGTGCAGCTGAGGACGGTGACGGGCAACGAGTTCCTGCTGCAGTCGGAGACGGGCGCGCTCATCAAAGAGTGGTACAGCACCATCCAGAACGTCATCGACAGGCTGGTGAGACCCACTGCCTCTTCTCTATTAGCGCTTAAATGAATTCCCTTTTGGTCAGAATAGTGTTGTACCTCAGAATAGGTTCACGTTCTCCTCTCGCTAACACCTAACCATAGACTCCTTTCCTTTCTGGTTCTTTTTCTTTTCTGAATTTTACTTTTGATCACAAGTCACAAGGACTTTCACCCTTTCCAGGACCGCGAAAACCCGTTGGACAATGTCCTCCTGTACTCCCTGAGGCGAGCGGGCAGCTTAGAGATCCTGGAACACAGCGGCGACGAAGATGACAGGAGAACGTCGCGTAAGTCGTGAACCCCCCCCCCGCGACGCCCCTCATCGCTCCACCGACTCCACCTTTGTTCTCGCGGAGTCGGGCCCCGCCCTCCGCCTCAGTTCACTCTCGCTGCATCGTCGTCACTCTTTTTCTTTTCTAACACTTCCACACAGGTTTCTTGCATCCTTCCATCCTCTCCTCCATCCTCTCCTCCATACAGCCCACTTATATTTTCACGCGGCCCCCGTGGCAAATAATCCCCCCGTCGGTCCTGTCTCACCTCCGACGGCGCCCGGCCCTTCCGCTTTTCATCCTCACCACTATCCCGTCTCATCTGCTCTGTTGCCCCGCCGCAGCCCAACGCCCCGCGCTGACCTCCTCTTCTTCCTCCTCCTCCTCCTCCTCCACCTCCTACCTCCCCCCCCCTGCAGTCCCTCGCTCGGCGTCCAACCTGGAGAACACGGAGAGGAAGAGAGTAAAGACCCGGCTGAAGAAGCTGATCCTAAAGAGACCTCCTCTGCAGGCGCTGCAGGAGAAAGGGCTCATTAAAGGTGAGATCTACTGTGAATGTGAGGTGTCCTCAGTATTACTTTTAGAGTGCACTTCTGCCAATAAAACTAGGCACTGGACTTCCAAATGATCCACTATTATTTTAACACTTATTTTACACATCTCAACTAGTTGACATGCTCCATACCACCAAGGTTTTTACTCTAATCTGTCATCAAATTCGTCAGCTATCTCCGCGTGAATTCCTTTTTAACTTCTTCTAAAACACTTCCTCTAAAAATGTCTTCATTATTCTCAGCACTACTTTCACAATAACTCTTGACATTATTATTCTGCCGCAACAAAGCAGCATCTTTAAAAAAATAAAAGTAGGAGATTAGGAAGAAGGTAAAAGATAAGAGTAGCACCCTTATAATATATATAACACTTATTGTAAAAATAATTCATGGTAGTAGCGAGGTGACGCAGAGAGAAGCGGAAAAAACAAAGCTTCTCACCCAGAGGTGGAAGGAAGTAGAAGTGGATTTATCATAAAGATGGCTACTCTCAAGTTGTAGTTAATAACATTTTCAAGTGCATTACAGAGATAACACAAAATGAGATGATGGCTCTGGAGTGAAGCTTTTCCCATGATGATTTCTTTTCACACCATAGGATATATAGTACAGCACATGTTGCATTGCATCATCAAGGGTGAGCCGATATTGCTGCTGGGAACATGGAGGTTTCATTCCATCGTGAACAGTAAATCTCTGGATCATTCTTGAGCTTGTAGCTCTTACATCATGCCTCGGCACAGAGAGAGATAGAGAGAGAGAGAGAGAGAGAGAGAGAGAGAGAGAGAGAGAGAGAGAGAAAAAAACCCTGCGTGTCTGACTGTCCGTCCATCACCACCCTTCAGATCAGGTGTTCGGCTGTCGTCTGGAGATGCTGTGCGAGAGAGAAAAGAGCACCGTCCCTCGCTTCGTCAGGCTTTGCACCGACGCTGTGGAGAAGAGAGGTACGAACTCAGCAAACTCGGAGCACGGCTCCGTGATAATGTGATTCTCAACCTAAAGGGGAGTCGTGAGGAAAACTTTCTTTAGGTTTGTTTTCTGTTCATCTCCGCGGCATAATTCTCTTCACAAACATTTACATCGGCCGACAGAGAGGCTCCTAAAAACAGGCAGAGAGAAAGTCGTGACAGCTGCCAGCCAGAGAGGAGATCTAAATGAGAGAAAATGGAGTTTTTTGGAAACTGCTTGGGAAGCAGAGCTGCAAAAACATATTTATTACTGACAAAATAAATCTATGTTTTGAGCAAAAGGGGGTTTGTCTCATTGTTTCAGATTGAGACATTTACAATCAAGTACGGTGAAAACGTATTAAGATGATTCTCATAGTTACAGTTCATATAGGTACTTTGTTTATCAGCATACCGTGTTAATTCAAATAACAAAACAAGCATGTGTGTCCTTAAAGAGATGCTGCTCATGCTAAGGTTTTTATCTAGAAAATAATATGAAACGCTGGCAGAAAAATGGACGTATGGATGTGGAATGAATGATGTGTGTCTCATTCAGGGGCTGTGGAGTTCAAACTCACAGCTCGGATATCAATAATCAATATTTCAAGTTGTGGTGCCTTTGCTAACCAGTGAGGAGAAAGAATTTTATCACGCTCTGAAATGCTGTGAGGAAGTTGGCGTCCCATATTCATGCAAAACATTACTTTTGACTTTTTAAAAAATGTTTAAATGTGCCAAGATGTGCTTTTGCTTGACTTTATTCACACGCTTTTGGGCACTTATGCAACAAAGCAAACTTCCCAGGCATACTGCATTATTTATGTGCAGAAAAGTAAAACAATTACATCGGCTCTGACCGCCTTGAAATCAGAGGAAATCATCTTAAGTTCATCTTAAATAATGTAATAAATGTCAGTTTAGTTCTAAAAGGAACCTTTTAAAGTGTTAAAGGATGCTCGGACCCAGTGGGGATCTAACCGGCTGCGTGTGGTACGTTGCAGGACTGGACGCTGACGGCATCTACAGAGTTTCAGGGAACCTGGCGGTGATTCAGAAGCTCCGCTTCCTGGTGGACCACGGTGAGGATGTGAAGGGAAACTGCTCCGTGTAGATGATTGATGCTGATGACCTCTGTCCGAATGAGTGACCCCTGGGGAGGAGAGGAGACGAGTGGTAGCAGGTTGCTTTTTTTTTTCCAGGTTTCCCCAAATCAAGTTAAATGTGATGCTCTTTGGTTTTATCCTGATTACGTATGATAATTAGGTACAGGTACACTTGCTCGTCACCTGATCGCTTGTCTCCCACTACTTCATTTTGACAAAGTGGGCACGGAGGAAAGCCGTCTGAGTAACTGTTGCTTTTTGCAGAGCGAGCGGTGACTACAGACGGACGTTACATGTTCCCGGCGGAGTTTGTGCAAGGTAGATTCGCACTGACGGGGATGAAAAAACAGACGCTTTTCACGTGTAACTCAGCCTGCTTGTTTTTCGCGCGCCGTACGTGTTTGATGATGATGTCAAAAAAACGTCCCACTCGCAGACGGACACGCAGAGCCGCGGCGCGCACCACCCGACAGTTTGCCGGCTGTGCTTCCATTTGCTTAATGTATGTGCGTCCCTCCGGCCTTTTCTGCTTTTAAGTTTTCTGACGAAATAACACCCGGCAAGCTGTACAGCGGCGTCTCACGCGGCGCTTCGCTGCCACCAAGTGGACGGAACGGAGGATCAGCGAGGATCGACCAGTGTTTCTCATCATTACACACCGCTCTCCTTGACTCTGAGGTCAAATTTCCTTTGTTTCTTGTCACATCTCTAGGATATCTCTATCTATTTGAGAAGCATTGGTCAGGCCTGGACTTTTAAGAAAATGTGTTTGTGTGTTTGCGTGCATTTTGTTTGTGCATTTGTGTCTCCTGTGACGTTCACAGAGCCTTTCTATCTCCCTCTTGCAGCTCCAAGCCTTCATTTTACGGCTCAGCACTAACGTGAATTCCCACCTCTGCTCTCTCGATGTGTTTCGCTAACCAACACTGCGGCTCTTCTTCTTTGTCTCCGTTTTCCACATTGCCGAGCCCTCCGTTTACTTCCTCTAACCCTAATCTGTCTTTTCCTCTCTGTCCTCCCGCCGTGTCTCTCAGAGGAGAAGCTGAATTTGGACCAGAGTGAATGGGAGGACATTCATGTCGTCACGGGAGCGTTGAAACTTTTCTTTCGCGAGCTTCCCGAGCCCCTCGTGCCCTTCGGCTTCTTCACCGACATCGTGGAGACAGTCAGTGAGTGACCGCCTCCAGTAAACTGTATCTGAACCCGGCACTTCAAACTGAATTATACTGATCTGATATCAATCCAAGGTTAAATTGAAAAACATCCCCTCGGTTATCAGTTTGCAAAGTTTGTGTGAAATAGAAATAAAACTCTTAATTGGGCCTTTTATTTGATTCTTTTGTTGTAAACGGTAGACAGGAAAGAGAGGAAAGGGGGATAATATGCATGAAAGTGACTCAGGGGGAATGTTGTAATTACACAATCACCATATTTTATCCTCAAGGCCACGAGGATGTCCGCATATGATACTTTTAAATCTCACCTTATTATTTTATCCACTGATGTTTTTGTTTTTTTCACTCAACACCAGGACATTCTAGTTTAAAGAGTTCACTTTCATCTTAACTTCAGCTCTTTTACACTTTATCAAACTGTGTTGAAAGTCATCTTCACTATAGAATATACGGTATTTACAGCACTATTCCACCACTAGAAAACCCCAATTGTACCACATTTACCATAAAATATATATGGACACAGTAAAATAAAATGGTACTTCTCAAAAAGATTACATAGAATTGAATTGAATTGAATTCAAATGAAGAGAATGCATTCTACACTTAAAGCTTCATTTGTTCACGTTTATTCCATAAAATCCACTCATACACTCTATTCTTTATTTGTCTTCCTGTCAAAACTGCAATGAAATGAATAGTTTCTAACTTTTTAAAATATTTCCAATACACATTGGTTGCTTTAGTGGCTAGTTATGGCATCATAATAAAAATAGCAATAATGTTTTTAATAGTTTTAAAAAACAATGTTGGTCTATTGTATTTCAGAATAAACCAAATCATGTCGCCAAACCTTTCCTTAACTGTGTTATTGATTATTTAGCATGACCCATTGTGATACAGCAATGTATGATAATATATTTTACTTATCCCAAAACTAATAATGAGGCATTTAAGAATAAAATGATATTGAGTAAGACAAGTTGCATATCACAAATACACGAAAACAAATGTAAATAAATTCTTTGTTTGAACTCCATTTCTTATCAATCCGTTGGACTATTTTTTTTGATTGCACAGTTTCACATCAAACCACAGTGGGGATTGTCTATAATTGCATGCTGCCGTACCAGATTAGATAGCGGATGCTAATAGAGAACATGTGATATCAGATATCATGCAACGAAATGCAAATGATGACATTTATTGTCGTCTGACACGTCTCTCGCTCTGTGTTGCAGAGATGACCGACCACATGGACAGAGTGGATCGTTTGAAGTGTCTGGTGCTCAACATGCCTCCTCCCAACCACGACACGCTGCAGTTCATGTGCTGCCATCTCAAACGGTGAGTAAGAATCTCCACTGTTTCTAATCTCGGAAACCGGCGCAGTTCATAGAAGCCGAGGATGTAGCAGATATTTCAACTTAAAGTTGAAGTGAACCAGATGCCCCTTGGAGGGGAAACAGAAATCTCTTTGTAAATCTGACCGCGAGAGGGGGTACTTTCCTCGTGTTCATCAGTCACATTCTTTGGCCGCGGCTCTCAAAGTGTGCCAGGGCTGCTGTACCAGGATCACACTGTTGTTAAGTTTGGGTCCCTGTGAAGATGAAAAGGCTGGAGGAAGATGAATGGCGTACGATGTTCTGCGGGCCAGCTCCTTTTACAGTACATAAAATGTGTGTTTTTTACCGCCGATGGTTTTTCCTTCCACTCAGGGGTGAGTGTTCGTGTCCTGAGGCCGATGTTTGTGCCAGGGTGTGGTGGCCTCCATGAATATGTCAACCCTGTGTCTTTCTCTCATTTTCTCCCTGCAGTCGCCCCCCCCCCCAACCCCCCCGCTCTGTTTCTCATCCATTATCTCCCCTCTCAATCAACCCCATCGCCTCGTCTGTTTCCTTTGCTTCCTCTTAATTTGCTTCCTCCTCTTCTTTTGTATTCTGCCATTGCTCTTCCTTCCCTTTTCCTCCTCTTCCCCCCCCCTTTCCTCCTTTTTTTTTTATCCCTCCCTCCCTCCCTTTGCCGTCCCCCCAGGCTCTCCTCCTTGCCTCGATGGTCCCATGGGAGCCTTGTGGTTCGTCTGCTGGAAGGCATAGCAACACCACCGCCGCCACCACTGGAACCTCGCTCCTTTCTCTCCGCCCGCTCCTCTCCCTCTCCCTTTTCCTCCTCTCTTTTTAATGTGGAAGTTTTGAGCAATTGCTTCTGTGGCTTGGTGGGAATGGCATTTTTAGAAAGAATGCCTCATGCTGTGGCTTAAACCCCCAATCTCTCCCTCACACACGCACACACACACACACACACACACATTCAAACACAACAGCATGCACACAGCCGGTGGATTTAGTCTCTCGTGTGCACAAATATAGACTGTAAAACGCAGATATAGATGCACAGAAAAGATCTCACTGGTGGACGATTGTTCTTTTATTTACTGTCCTGAGGCTTGTGAGAAGTAAGAAGATGTTACGTACTGACTGCTGGAGTGGAGCTGAATGGACAGTGAGCTGTCATCTATGTGGCTTCTGTCCCAAAGATGGATTCAAACAAGAATAAGTCCACACGCCATGCCGGCTTCTCTGAGTGGTGCTTTAGCGTAAGCGCTGATGTCCGCATGCCAACATGCTCACAATGAGTTGTGCGTTTTGTAGCTTTAACGTTCACCACATTGAACATCTTAGTCTGACACTAGCATGCTAACATTTATTATCACGAGCGATTCAAATTCATCCTGAGTGGCATCTGGATGCGTACCAACGTTTCGTGGCAATCCATCCGATAGTTGTTGATCTATTTCCCGCAAAGACCACAAATGTCAACCTCGCAGAGTGGCGCTTGAGGAAATGTCAGAGGACTACAAAAGAGGCTTTAGAATATCATCTGAAGATCATTACAGATTGTGCAAAGACTTTAGGCAACATTTGCTGACATATTTCTGTGTGCCTGTCGTACCTCAAAGCGTGGTGAAATAAACAACCGCAGGCTGCAAAGATACGGAACGTTCGATCCGGAGCCATTATGTTTCTTTTGATTTCATCTTCCGCGTCTCGCTCAATGCGTCCTCATCTCTCCGCAGAGTGTTGGAGCGTTCAGGCACCAACCGAATGACCACCCAGAACATCGGCATCGTGTTCGGGCCAACTTTGATGCGTCCGGAGCGGGACAACGGCAACATGGCGGTGAACATGGTTTACCAGAACCAAGCGGTGGAACTCATCCTCAGCGAGTTTGACCACATCTTTGGAACAAGAGGCCCGTCTTGATCCTTTCGGTCAGACGAGGCGAGGGTGTAGGGTGAGGGTGTGTGTGTGGGGAGGGGGTTCAAAAGGCTTATCCAGACCCGACAAATTCACAAGTATTGCAGCTTTTGTCCTCTTTGCCTGTTGACTCATGTGGTTTAAAATAAGTTTCACATCAAAAGATAATCACGGGGTAGAACCGGGACAGAAAGCTGCTAATAGTGACATCTGGCCTCCATATAAAGGCACGTTTAAACAATAATAATAATAAAACAAACCGATTTTAGCTGTAGTTCTTGTTTTTCACTGCAGATGTTGGGTGCAGCGTTCTTAACCGCTGGAGCAGACGCCTCCGTGTCATTTTTCCTTGACGTTTGAGACCATCAGGATAAATAAAAGCCATAAAAGTGATTAATGTCCCCCCCGACTGGCTGAGTATTAATCAGATATTTGAGGGAGGATGTGTCTTATAACCGGGCACAAAAACAGAACTTTGGCACAACCGTCTCACTGTGAAAACCTATGCACCAGGACTGGACAGATCCCACCTGCAGCGGCAAGCAGAGGATTCTATGAAATATGCAAACGAGCAGGAAGCCAGCCGCACACGGAAAGCAACCGCGTAGCTGCTGAGGTCATACAGTGTTTTGAGGAAGAATTTGTACGTATATTTCAGACTTCAGAGGTAAAGTTCAACGGGGAACTCTTCCATGTCAAAAGCATGATTTCAGTGTCAATAGGGCAACAAATGTTCCCTTTGTACCAAACAGTACGTTTTAGTGCGTGTGGACCTTTGAAGTTTCCCGTAAATTTGGATATGTCTTCCATTTTTATTGGTTCGAACTCCTCAGATAAAGTTAAATAATATGAATGTGTAAATATGTGAACTACTGTCGTTGTCAACTAGTAGCACTTTGCATACAGTGTTTAACCTTAACATTATATATTAGCCAGATTCAAACTGATTCATTTGCTTTTAAATGAACGACGCGTCGTGGCTTGGACCTGATTGTTGAACTCTCCTGCAATAAAATAAAGAATTTCACAAACTGATCGTTCTCACTATTGGTCAGGATGTGTCTGTCGGCTTGTTTGCATGAGAGATAGTAGTGCGTGGAGGTATGTGGAGGTATGTGGGGCAATGTGGGGGTATGTAGGGGTATGTGGGCCCCTGAGGCGCAGTGGGCAGAGGCATTCCCTGTGATTGGTGCAAATGCTGCTTTTAATAACAGAACAAAAGGAACTGGAAGTGCATATGTTTTAAAAATGTGTATTTTCCCCCAAAACCCTCTCAGTCTGTGGCTTTGGTAATTTTATATTGACTGTGGGTTTGGCAAAAGACGAAAAAGAGCACAATAGAGAGACCAGGGGGGAGAGGAGCTCATATATTTAGTTTTATTAGATGTATTTATTTATTTTTATGTTCCTATTATTTCACATCATGTGAGTGATTGAGTAGCGGCTACAACGATGTGTTGCTGATTGATGGGGATTCATCTGAACTTTTAAACATTGTGTCCAAGGTTATCCTTATATTTGATTGGCACCGATTATTTTTTCTACTTAAACAACAACCACATCTATTCATTTGATCTAAATTCTTGTATGAACATGGTGATCACAGTTTATACATGTGTCAGTATGGCAGATTTGGCAATTTCTACTCTTGTAAGTAGAATGTTCCAGAGCCTAAATGTAAAGAAATGACAAAACCCCTCAAAATATCATATTATTTTTATCTCATTCTTGCTTCTAATTGAAGGGATTTCTCTTTCAATTAAGTTGAAATATATCTGCCGTAGCCTTTAGCTCTGTGATGTGTTTTATTTCACTTGGTGCGATGGCGCTAATCACCCCCTAAAATACAATTAGTCCGTTAGGGAAACACTCTAAACACCTCTCCCTTCTAATCAGCAGCATGTTGGCAAGGAAAGTCAAGTTCTATTACTTTGTCTTTTAATGTCGCCCCCTCTTTCTTTCTCCTTTGACCTATTAATCAAACGGGATTTTTAAAAGGCAAGCTGATATTCTTGATTAAATCTAAAACAATGCAAAATAGAAATGATACATGATAAATAGTACACTTAAATGTGCAGGCAAGCATGGACCGATTGAATAGACTGACTCTTTTTTTTTCATCTGTTGTCAGTTATTTACTTTGCCTCAACAGAATTTATTTTTAGTATGTGTAGGTTTTATTAAAAAATCGTGCAAGTAAGAGAATGGGTGAAATGGGATGCATCCAAGTAACTCTTGGGAACTGATTTACATTTCATAGTCCAAACCACTTTAGAAAATCTGCTCTTTATTGTCATTTGCTTGGCAGCTGTATATTAATGAATCAATATGTTTTGTTCTTGCAGGATGAAATACAGCCCGGATGCCACATGGCAAACAACGGGCCTCTTTCTTTCTGTGTGTAGCGGCTTTTATCTTCTTCCACGTTGTTTACAACTTATTTGAGAAAAAAAAAGAGACCCTTCTGGAGTGTTTCTCTCCGCCACCGACATGTGCGCCGTGTTCATTCTTTACACTCTCATTCTCACCAAAACTATGAAACGCTTAGCAACCAATCGTACGACCTGCTGCAAGTGATGCTGCTGTCTTGACTGTGTCCATTTTTGCCAACTGCAAATAAAAGTTTTCAATTGGGCGTCATCTTACTCACGTTCACGATCACCAATTGTTGGTACTTCAGCTGATTCAATGCTGCTGACCCCAAAAGCATCAGATCACCCGTTGATGTTAATTTTACGGGTGAGCCGATTGTTTACTCAATCAATCATCGACCTAAAACTCAAATGCCATCATTTGATACTGCAGAGCTGCCCTGCCCTGCATACCTCAGACACATCCCCAGGTTGACAGGCATCAAGCAGCACTTCGGGAGAATCATCATGCAAACACAGACACAAAAAGCAAAGTCTGCATCTCATGAGTGGTTTACTGTGATAGTCAAGCTTCAGGACTGCGCTTATGTTTTTGTCTTTACAATTGCATGTTTTAATAGCCATAGCTTTTCATAGTTTAAGAGTGATCTTTTATTAATCTAATCCATGTCATAGGCATTAAATGGAAATTGCCTTGAGGTGATTAATCAGAAATCGAATCTGTTCAGCCTCATGAAGAGGTTTCTAATTAGAATGCAAAAAAAATTCTAATAATATTCAGGATAATATTAAAAAGAAAAATTACAACATTCCTTTGACAAAGTATGTACAATTTTATTATATCAATTATAAAACATATATAAAAAATACATACAAAAGTTAAATGGGGGCAAGTAAAAGATAAAAAAAAAACACTGCTTGTAACAACATGAGTGTGCAGACGCTAAGAGAAAGTAAACCATTTCTCATCAGGTAAGGAACTACTCACGAAAAAGGTGGCTGTTGGCGTGTACATTTGCATATCTTTGGTGATAAATATACACATAAACAAACACACACACACACACACACACGTTATGACCAAAAAGTTTCACGGTCTGCACAAATGCTACAAGCATAGTCACGCCTTTCTTTTCTCCTTGCACCAAGGCTTTGTCGGATCACTCACAGTGTCCAAAGTACATCTGAGGCACTTTTCACGATGACTGCACCGCAGTCAGAAAGAGGAAGTTAAGCTGTTGTATGTGTCCTGAGTCTTGACCCTTTTATTTCCGGGGCTGAGAAAATGGCACGTCGTAAATTGTTACGAAAAATAGAGCCCATGTTTGCATAAAATGAAATTGAGCTCCGTGTGATGATTAAACAGTGAGGCAGTGCAAGCCGTGATTGCTCCCTTGAAGGACCCCCCCCCCCCCCAAAAAAACTGCCTTCACTACCAACTTTAACACAGAGATGACTGTCCCTTTGCAAACCATACCATTTAAAAGGTGCAGTCGGATGCTTTTTGTTTAATAAAATAAATAAACAGCCACCTTCAACCGCTTTTTACAAAAGTATTCTGCTGGTTAGTCAAAGCCACAGAGCACCATAGTTAACCCGAGTTAACCCGAAGAGATGAGGTGGTTGCACCTTGTTATTTCACAGCATGAAAGATAAAAGAAGTACTTCATCTACATAATCTCCAGCCCTGACTTTGGGACAAAGTAATAGCTGCATGTGTGTATTTTCATGCAAAACATGTTACTGCTTATTTATCAATGTAGAGGTATGGCCTTGTATGAAATAATACCACAGGGTGTTGAATGTTACCTGCATTTGCAAAAATAAATATACTGATTGAGCACCCAGGGAACCTGGTTGATACCACTATCTGTAACATCCAAGCTCCAACTTGAACATCATGCTGAGTAACAGTGGATGTCTCTTCATTGCTGCAATCGGTCCTCTGCTGGTTTCTTAAATCCCCCACTGGTGTGCGTCTACATGTGAAAAGTTGAATTGTTTCAAACAAAGGAAACTGGATCATGGACATAGAAATACACATGCCTCCCCTTTGTGTGTTGTGCAACGGTGAGCTGCAGCTAGCAAATAAAAATAGATGAGATTTATGCAATGTCACATCTGGATAGATGAACTCAGATGAGTGAACCCAAATGGGTTTTAGCTGTCTTGGCAAATAAAAACAATTACGACAAAACAAAGACGAACAGAAGGCGCTCTAGGTACATTAAGTCTATTTTACATTGTAAAATACCTTATAGTATTTTTGTGTTGTCATATTATATTTATGTATATTTATTTTGTTCATATGGCTTAATCCACGTCGAGTCCATCATAGCTTTGGAAGGTCTGTGCGTTTCCTCAAGTAGATTTAAAAAAAAAATTGTAATCAGTTTTATAAAAGTGTATCAAAATTCTTAATATATAGAGGTTATACATTCTATAGGCTTGTTGAAGTCACCTTAGGTTTTTATTCTGGGTAAATCTGTTAAATCCAGGCTAAGTTCACATTTCTCCAAGTCTACATTCTGGCCCTTGGTGTCCCAGAATTGTCTGTCTGCTTTGTCAATGTGGTTCCCCACATCAAAACCGTTTATCTCGTTTTGGACTCCATTCTCTGCTGCAGGTGAGCCTAGAATGGGGCTACAATCCCCCAGCTCCTCTGCTCCCTCTATCAAACCCACATGTGCCCTTTCCACTTGACCATCACTAACACCTAAGTTGTTATCCTCCTCTTCCTCCTCCTCCTCTTCTTCCTCCTTCAGGGCCTCTGCAGCCCCATCTAGACTGGAATCGCTGAGGAAGGAATGCGCCGTCTGAGTGTCCTCCACAGACAGAGGGGCCTCGTCAACGAGGCGGCCCTCTAGATTTCTCCCCGCCCCTGGGGGAAAAGACATTTCCTCGTGATCTTGGTCTGGATCCTGGTCTTTGCTGCAGTAGGCGTAGCGGTGGTTCATGTGCTGTGAGTACGAGCCGGAGTGAGAGAAGCGCTTGCCACACTTGTCGCATTGGTACGGTTTCTCCCCGGAGTGCAGCCGGCTGTGCTCGATCAGATGGTGCTTGTGCTTGAAGGCCTTGTTGCAGATCTTGCACTCGTGAGGACGCTTACCTGTAGCAAAAACAAATAAATTATACATGACATTCTACAGAGAATGGAAATCCAACATTTGTTTTTCATTGGGGAGGTAATTAGCATAAACATTTGGCAGCCGTATTACTTAGAACAAAGAATGGAAGTAAGGGGAAATAGCCAGCGCAGTTTTATTCAAAGAAAATCCGTTTGCCAGCATCTCTCAGTAAGAAATCAAATAAGGATGTTTAAACATTTGAACAGAAATTGTCGTGATGTATGATTCATATCAAATGGCATAGAACTTTTGTGTGTTTTTTTCTTGCCTGTGTGCTCGTATTTGTGACGGAGCAGAGAGCTGCTCTTCTGGAAGGTTTTTTCACAAATGTCACAAGCGTAAAGGCCCTCATCCGTCTTCCTCAGCCTTTTTTTGCTGGGTCCCCCTTCTCCCTCCAGTCCTTCATCCACCAGGGAGAGGTAGTCTAGAGCTCCATGGCTTAACACTTCACCCTGATGAGAAAGCATGAAAATCCCGATTTGTGTTAAACTATTTCTCAGGTTCTTACAGCAGCACTTCAGGATCAGATATTTCAACCTATTTTTCTTGCTGCCTCTGCAACGTTGTTCTTCGGCAAATACACGTAATTGATTTAAACAAACCTGAAGGGGAACGCTACTCACCATGAGCGCTTGTCTTTCCAAGTGGATTTTTTTCAGGGTCGCCTCTGCGTCTGCGTCCATCATGTAAGCCAAAGGAGAGAGAAAGCCCGGGCTGTTGACTTGCTGGCTGAAAGGAATCGCTGTGATGCCGTCGTGTCCTGAAAGCCCTAAACCAGACTGGTTGAAGACATGATACCCGTTGTATAAGGAACCTGGAAACATAGGCGCTGCGGCCCCACCGAAGATCGGATGGGGCTGGAGGGGGAGGTGCGATGTTGGACTTGGTCTCCTGAGTAGCTGGGTCCTGTGCTCTTTCCTCCCTTCCCCTCTGGCTGAGAAGCCGTTTAGGGTTTTGTTTCTCCCCTCCCGGTCTAACAGCTGCTTGGGCAGCGAGAGGTCCAGAGGCTCGCTCTGTGCAGACCAGGGGCTGCTGGTCTGGTTCTGGGGGGAGGTCAGCTCAGGAGCACAGCTGGCGAGGCGGACTGGAGAACCGAAACCTGAAGAGGGAACCCTCTTTCTGACTCGGGGCGATGACAGCTTCGGGGAGTGGTGGATCGGCTGGCTTGGACTTCTCTTGTCCTGACTGGAGCAGTACGCTCGGGAGGACGAGGAGGCATCATGGTGGGGCTGTGGGGGAGAGTACATTGCCACCAAAAGCTGCTGCGGTAAAGAGTGCCAGCTGGGCTTCTGCATCGGTGACAGGCCGTTTGACACGTCACTCGGCTCGCTGTTCTCCGGTTGGAGAGCAGGTCTGGGGAAGAATAAAGGCGGCGAGTGGTGGTCTTTGCCGCGGAGATCCTCGATTACCTCCACCGTCTCTTTGTTCACCTTGCAGAGGTAGCGCTCGTGCTGCAGGAGCACCGCCACATTGGGGAAACTCTGGGAGCACCAGCGGCACGTCACGCCGAGCACACCTCTCTCCCCTTCACCTGACCTCGCCGCTTCTCTTCTCCTGTCGGGCGACACCATCCTGTCAGCTCCAACTCCGTTGTAAACCGTCTTACTTCCCTCCATTGCAGCCCCTCCTCCTTCTCCTCTGTCCATCTCTTCCTCTTTCCTCACCTCCTTGTGAAGCATCTCCTGCAGCATCTGTTCAAACTTGGTCCCAGAGTGCAGATAAGGCAGCATGGTGGTCCCGTTTAGTATGCCGGCCCTCAGAGAGAGCTCTGCCGAGGGGTCCCAAAGTCGAACCAAGGAAGGATTGTGGTTGCCGTCCTGCACGGAGAGCTGGTGAGGATCCTCCGGTCCTAGATATAGAGGCTTATGGTCTTGGGCCTGTAAAGCCAATGGGGAGCCCTTATCACTGCTGTTTCTCCCAACACCTGCAGAGGGAGACGTTGGAAACGAGTGGTGGAAGGAGCTTTGGCTGTGTCCGTTAAACGTACCACTGGCTCCTCCCGCGTTTCCCCCTCCATTTCCTCCGCCACTGAGGCACTTTTTGCTGCTTAAGTGGGAGCTGTAGGAACCAGAGTGAGAAAAACGCTTCTTGCAGTTGGAGCACTCGTAAGGTTTCTCCCCTAAAAAATGACAAGCAGGGATATATTAGACAAAACATGCCAAGAGTGGGTTGAAATACTTTCAAAGAATTTCCTAATTACTGCCTAATGTTTTAGATCATCTTAACTTGTTTTCTGTCAATATATCAAATTAGGTATAATTTCATAGCATAACTGGCACATCATGTAAGGGGTAGTGATACAGTGAATTGAAGAGCAGATTGATGGGTGAGTACAGCTGTTTGTTATTTTGTCTCACCGCTGTGAATTCGCAGATGCTCTTTGAGGTGGTGTTTGTACTTGAACGCTTTGCCACACTGGAGACATTTGAACTTCCTTGTCTCAATGCCTTGATCCAAAGAGATGACACTCTACCGTGATGAGAAGAGAATGTTGTTAATTTTATGAACACATTCAGGGATTCATTTCAACATATGACCAAGCCGGATTTTGTAAAATCAAATCCACATAACTAGGTAACTTTGTGAGACTAAACGTAATGGTGAAGTTTCTCCTGCTCTCTGCATCTCACCTTATCCTGCACTTGGTTGTGAAAAGCCAGGTGCCGCTCCATCTGTGCCCTAAGGGTGGCAGTATATCCACAGAGCGGACAGACCATGTGGCCCCCCTCTCTCTCCTGACAGTACTTGATGTGGTCCCTCAAGGAGGCTCCTCGCGGATACAACCCGTGGCAGAATGGACAGGCCTGCTGGGTCCTCCCTGCATCTAGAGTCCAGACCCACAGGTTACATTTCATGAAAGGAAAACCCCCCCAAAAATCACTATTTTATTTTATCTGATTCACTGATTCATTTTCTAACCCGCTGATCCTGTTGCAGGCAGGAGGGACTGGATTGTATCCCAGCACACAAGCAATGAAATAATAATAAAATAATAATAATTAAGAAAGCCTTAATTGGGAAGGTTATATCCATACATGACGTTGTAATTATCATACATATGTATATGGTTTATTATTTGAAACTAATGTTATTTATTATTTCATCTAGTGAAGATATTTTGTAATCTTATGTCTTAAAAACGCTTTCCCTTCCATGTGTTCGAATTAACATTATCATGTGCGATGTGCAGCTGAGCTGCTGTTGGTCCCTCTAACAACACACTGCCTGGCTTCAGACGTGTTGATTCTATTTAGCATCACTGAAGCTGTTCCTTCATCAGCCTACCTGCTCCCTCGGGCGAGTGTTCGGCCTGAGCGCTCGGTGACCAGATGGCAGGTGGCAGCTCCTCGTGCCTACTTCCCGGGTGGTACACCGCTGGCGTGCCATTGTGGTTTAGATGGTCCAAGAGACTGGCTGAGGTAGAGGCCTTCCTCAGCTGGGCCAGAAATTCATAGTGGGCAAGGTCCTCCAAAGCATTTTGAGAGTCTGAGGTCTTGCCTACGAGAAGAGAAAAAGATGCGGAACGGAATTGTACTACTCGTTATAGGAAATATTTTTAGGAATATAAAATAGGATATATAATATTCTATTATAATATAATAGAATATTATATAGGAAATATAACAAGAGATAAATTCAGAATGAAAACTCTGATCTATGCACACATTTGCGGGAAAATATTAGTATTGGATTATTTATTATTATAAGTCTCCCTGAAACAAACATTCTAGCAGCCAGGGTTTTGTAAAAGCAGAGAATAACAGGCCGCACAAACTGACTATAAACAATATTCCGTTAAAATGCAGATTAATACACAGCTTTTTTATATCATCGCTCCGGTTGAATGAACTTTTTCACTGAAGTTGCTGCTTTCATGAACTAAGTGTTCAATAAAATTATTGAGAAAGTGTTTGCTCTCTTGCAGTGAGGGAATGTGCCAATATCTTAACCCAAATATGCAGCGCCAGTGGGGATGAATCCTAAAGGGACGCCGTGCAACTGAATCGAAGTTACCTAAACTGTTTACTTGACGACTGACTGAAAAACAAGGTCATTTGAAGAATTCTTTGGCATTTGCGTCCTTGAGTGCGGTGACAGGAGGGCAGGCGGAGAGGAAGGCAGGGCGCCTGCTATCAGGAATCAAGCCAGTCAGCTCACAGGGACTTTGAGGAAGATTTTACAAATGGTTGCAGATGTTGGCATATTTTGAGCTGTTTTTTATGTGGCGAGGGGACGAGCCTGAGTGGTTGAGTGTTGTAAAAACTCGGCTTCGCCTTCGTCAGGCAATGCCAAATCACACAAGGCGAAGGAGCTAAGTGATTGTTAGTAGGCGAGCCGCGTGAGCCTTTGATCTCTCCTAAATAAAAGGGAAAGCCTCGCGTCGCGCAGCGCTGATTTCAGTACCGTAACGTCACCTCTTTGATGCATGGAAATATTGTGACATTGTGTGGGATGAGTTCTTTTGTCATGCTTTCAGAGGGCTGCCTTTTTCAAAGAGAGGAGTGAAAGAAAAAAAAAGGAAGAGCTTGTAGCCAAGCGTGGTTTCACTAGGAGATGATATGAAGGTGTATCTAGAGGGCTGTGAGAGGCACCATGAGACTTCCGGGGACTTGCATCAGAAAAACAACGTAACACACACACACACACACACACACTGCTGTCCTACAGGACTGCTGTCCTGTTTACTGACGACCTCTGTCCTTCTGCTGTAAATCTTTGAGGGGACGCTGGAGGCGCATTTAACTCACAATGTTTTGAATTGAAAAAGTGCAAAGTCCAAAGTGGGACCTGAAAGGAGTTTTTTGGCGCTCTATCTTTGATTTAACTCTAGTATAATGTGTCAAGCCCCACCCCTTTAAAATACAACGCAGTAATGTTTACTCTGAGTTTACTTTTACATTTTTAAAAGTAAGCGTGCTTTAGCTTGAGTATCATGTTTATAGTTTTTTCACTATTTTGTTCCAAACTTACAGTACATGCCCAACGGTTCCTGGTTCCCCTCCCTGCCACTGGCAGATTGGCTGGTGGCGTTTTCCGGGGCCTCGGCCTCCTGCTCCACTCGCCAGTAGCTCGCGCTGCCGGGGCTGACGCTGTGCGGCCGCATGGACCGGGAGGGGCTGGTAGGCTCCTCCGTCCCCTCGCTGGGGGTCAAGCTCGTCTTGTCCAGGCTCTCCTGGCAGTCCTGGGGCTCCAGGCTCCACAGGCCCACCTCATCCTCCCCTTCAGATCCCAGAGAACTCACTTGCTCGGCATCCACTGTGAGAACAGAAACATTTTAAGGCGTGGAAGGATATCTTGTCTTGTTTGAATGCCGTGCTGCGAAAAGATTGTGATGCAACATATCTGAGTATCCTATTATTTAAGCCGTAGATTATCACCAACAAATATGGTCAAAGATGGACAACAGTGTGATTACTTGTCTTGTCAGTTTTGTTCCTCTGTGAGCGGGAGGAATGAAATTGTCCTGATGTGAAGTTGTTTAATCTGGTTCTTATCATGAGTTCTTTTATATGCCTTTGCGTGGTTTGATGTGCGAATTAGGATCAAAACAAGCCTTCACACTCAGCATGCAACATACATGTTAATGCAAATAAACTGAACTGTAAAAAGAGATTGCCAACTTATTTTACGATGCGAGTTATGCTTTTTAAAATATTTTACTGAGCTATAACAACATTATAAAACTCCAGGCAAAAAATAAGAATGGTTAATAGTCCTTTTTTATGAATTTCAGCCAGATTTCCCAAATGAATGGTCTTTTATGAAAATTAATCGAAATGGATGCATTCAATCAATAAAGGTTTGGTTAAGGTCACGAATCCAGAAAAGACAGTTTATTTTATCAAATGGTAAAATGATGTTGTGAACTTAAACCGTTAGTACGTGTAATTGCTCTGAAAGAACATGATTAGTGTAACAGCAGAAAACGTACGTCTAAATGTGCCACACATGTGCGACAGGCACAGATGTAGTGCAGCAGTACAAAGAAAAGATAAATGACATATCGTAATAGAAGTGTAACTTCTGTGCCCAGACTCCCGCACAACTGAAAAGGCGAACGACTTTTTCCCATGGCAAAGACAATAAATGACAATCACAAACACATGACTGGGATTTCAGCGGTAGGCTCTCATTTCCAAGGCTTTTCTTTTGAAGACCGCTGTTTTCCTCTCACTGATTGGCAATACCTAATCACCAGCAAGTAATGCCCATTTAGGAATATATCATTTTCAGGAACCTAAACCCTTGCACTGTGCCAACACACAGAGGGCCAATTCCTCTTTCTGTGATTGAGATCACGAAACAACATCGTCATGCTTCCTATTAGTTTTAAATACATTCCTCTCTTTGTCCTCTTTTCATCAGATCAGAGTGGAAATAAGGTTTCATGGCTCATTTAATGTCTCAAAACAAGATTATTCTTTAAACTGACAAAACTAACACTCCCGAGAGATTTTTCCTTCTCATGTGAGCCCTTCCAAATACACCCTCGCTGGCTGGTGGACGCCATGAAATAGTATAATAATAATAATAATAATAATATAATAGTATTTTGCTTTTCAGTTGCGGCCCGGAGCTCACGTTGACAAATTCCAGAGAATGTTTTACATCGGCAGAGACATCTCTGCAAATCTTTGTTGTCGACTTTTACTTCACACACACACACACACACACTCTGTACTGAAAGAGTAAAAGGAGGCCCAGAGGCCCAGTGCTGCCGATGGGGCAGCCCGCAAACACCCACCTAAAATCCTCGATGCGTACACACACTGTCCTGATGAGCTAATCTCAAAGTGCAAGACGTATCAGTTTGTGTCTCTAAGTTGCATGTCCTTCCCCAGCGTCATTTCACCTCTGTAAAATCTTACCTCATGCAAAACATTCTGATTCATTTGAGCTGCCGCTCCTTGCCGCACCACTGACATGAGGGAGGAATGACTTGCTCTTATGGGGGGTGAAATTGGTCATCAAATGTGCTTCCCTACAACAAACAGCTATGCAGTTTTATGATGTAGTTCAGGTCGGCCTATCAGCCCGGCAGGAATTTCCTGGGTTGATGGCAAATAACGCTGGGCCTAAAGAGAGAAAAATCTGGTCCGGATTAGCATCAAATTGGCCTTAATTCTCTGTCCCGTGACAGTGATCGACACTGAGCCTATACGTGCTGTCATTAAAGCAGCGCCGCTCTGGGATGGCTTTCATTACTCGGCCTGTTGATTTATTTATTTGGATCGCGCCTGCATCCTTCAAACTGCTCTTTTAAAAAAATATTGTTTGAGCAGGAAAGCTACATCTTTGAACTGCACAGCAGGTTCGGGACGGCTTGCAAATCGAGGTCGCATGTCAAGGTATGAATTCGTATGAATTCATGCAATGTGCAAGAGATTTACCAATGTGTAATTCGTTGGAAGACGCCGAACACCAAAAACACAGAGCGGAGCACGGTAGAAAACAGCTCGCTGCTATCGTGTGCGTGGGGAGCACATGACTCATATCCAGAGAGTGGTAACCGAAACCGTGCTGCATCATGCTTGACGATGTCAATCACTTGGTCTTCAGGATGGATCGTTTCTGATGGTTTGACAACAACAGAGGATTCAGATCAAACACTCCAGCTCTATTTTAATCTGTCTGTTGCTTTCCCTGCCACGACAGTGACTGATTGACAGTCCGCTTGCCAGAAAGGAGTTTCTTGTTTTCTGCTCGGGAGTAGTTTCATCCTGAGAAAATACACCCATGTTCTTGTCGTCTGCGGGGCTTGAGATCCATCTCCAATCGGATCTGAAGCAAAACAATTATCATCCGCAGTGATCGTAGATTGTTTATTTGTTTTTTGGCCACTTTTTCAAAGCCGGACGGTGACGGATAATGAAATATGTTCATTATCACGTACACAGACAGTGAGAAACCACACAACATATCATTTACAGTAAGATGAAGAAAAGAATGATTCTGCACGCGCTCACTACAGCACTGAGAGTTTTACTGTTTACATCCCAGAGGGCATCGACTGTACAGTAAAACCCTAAGTTGCAGTTTTTTTACGACGCACACATGTGATCTGCTATTGACTCAGTAATTCTGTGGTTAAATGATAAACATAGAATAATTACCTAGAAATTACCCTGTTTGTTTCTTTTGGTTTAAAAGGCCACTAACAAGGCCAGGCCCAATTTACCGCACATTGTAATCGTTACCGCTCTGTTAATTCTATGTTGGTTGCACAAAAGAATAACGGTAATGTTATCAATGCTATTTATAGATTTCCACTTTTCACATAAAAGCAACCTATTAAATAGTAGTTTATCCCGATACACTTGTTTACTGTGTCAGAAAAGCCTTGTGTCTGAATCAAATGGGTCCTAAAATGACATTTGTCGCTTTATACAAAAATAGTAAGTAAGGAATTTAAAGATACATTTCTTTTGTAAGGGTTGTAACTTCTCATTTGATAGGATCTTGCATTTTAAAGTTTGAAAAAGAATCCCTTTATAACAATTTCATCTATAACAATCCAGAGTTATTTATATCCACATACAAGGGACACTGTCAACTGAACAACTAAAAGCTTTTCTGATCAATCATATTTTATATATCTAAAAACCTTTTGGATTTTTTTTCTAGATGATTTAGTTTTAGTTAATGCATGATGCAATACAGATTATAAATGTCATGCTGTCAAAAAATGTCCTGCTCTCACCAGTGTCAAAAGAAACTTCCACTATTTTAAACTCAATAAATCACCACAAGGGCCGTGGACGCCCACGGGATAAAATAAAAGTGCGTGTAAATGTCCGTATTGTCATTTTACCTGTGAGAGCAGTTCAGAGACGAGGTAAATCCGCATTCGTCTTCAGAGCGCACTGACGCTGACAACGGTGACCCATCTTTCAATATATCGCAGAAAAACATTTTTAAGAAACTCTCTCAGCGACAGCTCTCCTGTTCATGCCTGCTGTCTGACATTTGAACAATGATTCAGGGGAGGGCCGCAACCAAGAACAAACGCCGCCCACCTGATCCCCTCCATTGTGGCAGCAACTCACACTCTCTCTAAGGTGTTGGTTCCTCCTGGCGCTGGCCCCTCTTCTGGTTTCGTTTGGTTTGACCTGCCCCAGCAACAGTGACGAGGGAAAAAAGGAGGCTGATGCCTAAGAGCGGATTGTTTTTTTTTTTCTTAATCTATGTGCTTTTGCACATGCACCAAATGCATAATGAACACACTGTTTTACCCTGGATCCGTTCCCGCAACAAAAACAGAAATAGAGGAGTTGATTTTGAAACGTTGTGAGTGTATGATACCAATAATATTTACTAGTTTGTTATTTAGAAAACTCAGTGTTGAATTTTAGTCAAGACCTCATTTTAATCCATCAGCAAGTTTTACATGTTAGCTTGTATCGGAAATGTTTTCAGAAAATGGACTCATAAATGCTCTAAATGGACATGTTAACCAATAAGAATGGTGGTAATGTGATGTTTTGCAGCACTTTTACTGCATTTATGTGGGAAGAAAAGAGGAAGTGCAAACATTCTAGTTTAATGATGGTGAAAATAACCACAAACTCATACATATGAAATACTAGGTCGCAAGGTCAAGTTCCTGTTCAATTGATTACAGTTGTGTCTTTGCAGGATGTCAGGATGCCACAATAGAAACAACAATTTTGCAAACGGCTGCAAGAATAAACGTGATTGAAAGTGTGACACTGTGATGGGGATTCTAAAGGTCATATTGGTGTGGAGGAGGAGATGCTCCAATGTGATGTTTGCCGAGGTATGATTTTGCATTCTTGCCCTGTGTTTAGCAGACAGTGCCGTGGTGTGTTGTGTCGTGGAATATTTCAATAAAATAGTTCGGGAGAAGAGAATGAATTCGTTCGAGGGCCTGTGAGAGCAAGTTAACTCCCTTCTTCAGACACACCTGCATATGGAAACCTTAAATCTTTACTGCTTTTGCACATCAGGGTCAAATACTGACACTTGAGACGCGGGTTTAGCACAAGACAATGTTATAACATATTTTTACCATTACAGTTGTCGCACTTAAATTGTACTTTCAATTGTGTTTGTCTATAACAAGTCGTATATTGGTACATTTTGCACCGCTGCATAAACTGTACGGGAAGAAAGAAAAGTGATGGAGAAAGAGAGAGAGAGGAAAGAAAGACAAAGTTAGGAATTTGCAAAGAGAAAGAGACAGAAAGCAACAGTTGGACTAGTGGAGTCGAAATGTGAAAACCACGCTACAGAGGGAAATTCCCTCAACACGCACACTCGCACACCAACTCGGGTACAGAGAAACACAGAAAAACAAACAAACACGACTCGTGTTGTGAGCACAAATGGGGATCAAGACTGGGCTGCTGCTTCAGAGGGCCACAGCACGATCAAACACAGCAACGGAATCTGCGTGTATGTGTGTGCGCGGCCCTTCGTGAATATCCTAAAAGCGTCCCGAGATGGAAAAGTTGGAGCCCGTGCGGTGCCACAGCAGCGAAGCGAGTCACGGCTTTGTGCCTTTTGAGACGTCCCGCTCATTAGGAGACACCACCCTGTCAGAACGCTTAAACCACCACCACAGAATGTGCAGCCCAGTGGCAACATCTGCACTTTGAAACACTCAGAGGGCCCCACGGAACAATCAGCTCAAGAAATAAACACCCAGCCAATTTCTTCACATCGATAAAGGTTCAGCAAAGTGTGCACAACTGCAGACGAAGCAGAGATCTTTAAAACTGACTCCAAATGTTGAAACTCTCTTTTTTTTTGCCTTTGTTCGCTGTGGTTTTTAATGATTCTGTTAAATTAGGGCCCTTGCGACACAAACACAGAAACACTTTCGGCATTTTATTTGCTTCAAAGCCACCGAGCTATTCACTGATACCACACTCGCAAAGTTGATTTGTCATCTAGTTGCACTTTTGGTGTGACTGCGTGCTGCTGGCGTGGGTTTCATTATTCACAGGCGTGGATTCGATGTCTGAGGAGCGCGTGCGAATCAAAGCAAACCCCCGAAGACAGCGGCAGCCAACACACTGTGGTGTTGTGTACGGCTGCCTCTCTGAAAAGGGCGCCGGCATGTGAACAACCGAGTGAGATCAGAATCCCGAACCTAAGATGGTCTATGTCAACTTCTCCGTCAGTAGTACACAAAGTTTATTTGTTTTTACATCTGATAGGTTGAATCTCATGTTTGCGTTTGAATCGTCTTTGCTTGCGCAAATTCATTTAATGAAAAATGCAGAACAGTCCTTAATATATGGGATTTTTGTGCATGGTTTTGTGACTAAAAACACAACTGAAAGAGCGATGTGTGTTTTTGCATTTTCAGACTGACAGAAATAAGTGAATTAGAGCAGTCAGAGTGAATATGGACAAGAAAGGAGTCCAAAATAACTTGTGGCCTAAACCAGTAATCAAACCGAGAAGGTGCACATACGTGCCGGTTAAACAGCTGTGACTAAATTAGAGGTACAGTACGCTGAAGTGCAGCTACAGACACACACGGAGACAGTGTGAAGGAGACGGAGACACATACTTACAGGCCACACTCTCGTCCCCTCGTGCAGATTCCCACCCGAGTTATTTATTCTGAGATTGTGCCTCTAGACATCCTTGCAACATGTTTGCAGCCTGTAACGATCGCCTCCGCAAGAACTCCAAAATGAGCCGCTTCACGTGTCTCACAGGTAGGGCTTAAAGAGATGGCTATCTTATCTTTCACAGAATCCATTTTTATGCAAAAAGGTGCAGCCATCGAGTTTTCCTCTCTGCACAAATGAGGCAAGGTGAGAGAGAAGAGGTGTGCAGAGAGCCCTTGTGGTTGCGTGTCATCTTCCTCTGGAGGTTTCCTGTGTGCTGCTGCCTACATGCTTGCTGCCATATTCACCTGTCCTTTCGACCACCACAGTGACATTTATCACAAAAGGATCACCTTTTTAGACACAAAGGCCAAGTAAATGCCTTTACGTGACTGATAAATGACTTTCTGCTATAGGGCCTCTTTCCGTTTCTTTGTTGGCAGCTCGCACGCAGCACAAAGGAGAGTGTTTTATTTGCCTGTTAGAAGGCCCTAACAAACAAATAAAATACTAGGATTTAGAATGTTTTAATTTTCTTTAAAAACCCTTAAAATACATTTTTTTATTTTAATAGCCCTGTTTGGACAGTGGGCTTTTTTTACATTCACCCCCCGATCGCTGAGACGATGAGCACTTCACGGCCTCTGACATCATCGATCGCCTCATTCTCTCTCCGTCGTTTGGCTCCTGACATGAACTCACACGCGACACAGTTTCCACCGCCCTGCTAAAGATACACAAACAAACGCTGCCGATATCGTTCTGGACTCGAGTCTTACTGAAATGTGTTACTTGACTCATTCTCCGTGTCGGTGACTCACCAGCGGGCGACACCTTGCACCGAACTGCTCTGTTTCTATGGCGTGACAGCTCCTGCGTGCGACGACATCCCTGTCGCCCCGTTTGACTCGCGTTGGCGAGAAAAGGTTAAGATCGGTTAGAGGCGGCGCGTTATTTCGGGGTTGGCCCTGCGGGATCGGCGCTGGAAGGCAGTTAACGGTCACAGAGGGCCCCACGCGCTCACCGCACCGTGAATCAAAACCCCAAAACTCCACTTCATTAGGCTGCTGTCATTGCAGAGACTCTCACACCACTCTATAAATACACCCTCCTCCCCCCCCCCCTCGTCTCCCCCACTTCCAAATTTGTTTTCCCTCTTTTTTTTTTGTCTTTACACGTGAAAATGCTCGGGGACTGTTCCAGCTTTCTGATGTGGCTCTTTATTTTGTACGTTGGCGCAAGGAAACCGCACGATAGTGGCTCTTTTTGAATATTAAAACATTCCCTGATGGGGCACAAAGGTTCTGAAGTTTTATTTTAATAGGCGTGCGCGCTAAATAAAACTTCTCTTTGAGCTTAACAGCTTTATAATGTGGGATTTGGTTAGTTCAACTCGAGCTGTAACTTTCAGTTACTCACTAGGGGAGATTTGTTTTGAGGGTGAAACAAATATGCCCGGTATCCCACTGACTTTGTCTGCTTTATAAGATGCTGTTAGAGGTGTTTACTGTGATGTGGCGTTTGACAATTTACTGCAATAAACTCCCCAAAAAGAGTTATGAAAAAAAATAAGTTATAATAAGAACAGAACTGAAGGCATCACCACATGTACGGTCGCAGCAGCATCAATTCAACTAACATTACAGATCTCCCCGGCAAATAATCCCACAACAATAATAATCCAGCATGTTATTCCACAGAAAGATAAACTGGGCCCTGATAGTCAGCAACAAATATGAAAAGACATCAGCACCACTTCTTGTACCACTTGCTGCTGGACAACTCAGTTGAAGTAGAACGTTTAGCGTGTAGCTGTACCTAAATATACGCTTCACCATAGCAAATGCTGTTTTTAATAGACGCAGCCTGTGGACTCGACCCGACGGCCGGTTTCTGCCTGGCAAACCCTACAGACGGGGCGCCATCCTCTGGCGCATGTGGACATTACACCCTCCACCGCCCGGGAGATGATGAGACGCCGAAACATTTCAAGTGACCACATGTGACCTCCGAGTGCTTAGGAACATCGAAAAGATGCCTTTCTAATGTGCTCATGTTTTCTTCTTGTCTCTCGCTGAATCATCCCTGCCGTGTCTGCACAAACCATCCACTCTCTCTCTCTCTCTCTCTCTCTCTCTCTCTCCACATACTAGGCCATTAAACCGGCCTTTTTGTGGGTTTGAAGTTCTGATTAGGAAGACGTATGTCATACTGCATATCCGTGTGTACGTTGGTTACAGCCTGCTGCACTGTGCGTGTGTCTGGGAGGGAATCTGTGTGCGTTGTGAATGTTGGGCCAACGCCTTGAAGGGGAAAAAAAAAAAAAGAAACTAATTAAAGTAATGGAGAAAAATGCCAAGACAGCAGAACCGCACAAAAGAGTGTGTGCTTGTGTCTTGTGTCCTTACTGACCTGCCCCGGTTGGAGAAGAAAAGAATGATCGCAAGAAGAAGGAGAGAGAGAGAGAGAAACCTCAACCGGAAAAATAATGTATATAAAATAAGACTCAACAAGAAGAAAGGTTTAAAAAGCAAACTTTGGGAGTTTAAGAGGATCTTTGATGTGTATCAGAAGAGGAAAGCAGCCTTGCGACTGGGACGACAGTAATTTTAAGTCGAAGCAGAAGGCTGGCCGACTGACTGCGGGCTTTGATGGCGCCGGCTGTTTGAAGTGGTTTTCGGGGGATGGGAGCAGCGTGTGGTGTCAGTGGGACAGGGGAGGCGCTCGGCGAGAGACGGGGGTGGGCCCGATGGCGACTGCACAGGACTCGAGGATGGGAGGATGGATAGATGGCGGGCGGGAGGAGGAGGAGGAGGAGGAGAAAGGAGTATTAAGAATGGAGAGACGGGGATGAAAAGAGTGAAAGGGCTGTAAGAGTTAAGACAGAAAGCAGAACCAAAGCGATGGCAGAGGAGGAGGAGAAGACAGACCAATGAAACAGCCAGCGAGAGTCACACGACGAGGGGAAGAAGAAGGAAAGGGAACAGATGAGGGCCAGAAAAGCTCCAAATCTGAGAAGAAAAGTTTAAAAAACAAACAAAAAACAAGCGACAATGAAATCAAGCGTCAAGATCTGTGTCCGAAATTCAGAGGCCCCGTCCTATTATCAGGCCTGGACACATTCACACCTACCTATTACTTGTGTCATTAAGATGACGCTTCCTCCCTCTGATATGCTGCCAGGCTGCCTCATGGCTTATACTCCTCCTTCCATCGCCGCTGCATGCCGGACACATGCACCGTATAATCATAACTGCACCGTTTCCCCCGAGGT